TTGTTAGCATCTAGCTAGCTGCACTAACGGAGCTGTTTGTTCCACAACAAGCTGGATAGCTCTCCTCTCAGACTGAGAGGCTCAGGTGAGCTAAACCAATAAATGTCGTATAATTAACAAGGATAAACTGATGTTTTTTAGTGGATGAGTACTGCAGATATCACTGTTAAATCATTTGATCATTGGTTTTATTATGAAAACATCGAGACCGGAAATACTGTTTTCAACCCGTAACTTTACATGGAGGCTGCCGCATACCTCAAATCATCTTCGTAATATATATCAAACTATAGATCCTACATATCGACTGGATGTGGATTCTAAAAGTACAATATACACTTCTCGCTAGAAATCTAATCAAAAAGCGTTTTAATGACCAAACTATCCTACAATTTAGGATTCTACAGAGAGGGTGAATAAACGACCATCTGTAACGTTTGCATTCAACGGGAGCACTAGAGGGCGAAAACTTTAAAACGTAATTATAGGACGTATTAAGCGCTTGAACAAACGCCATATTTGGTCGTAATAAGGGCCTGAACAATCGGCCCATTTGGTCGTATGAGTTGGAGGACTTGTTGATGTATCCTGTGTTGACCTGATAAGACATCTCAAACTTGTATTTTCACTTTCATCTTAGAGGAGGAGTTGACGTTTGAAGTCTACCAAAACAGTTCACTGGTAACAGAATGGACTCGCCAAATTATGAGTACGGAGTCTGAGTGGTTTCTCATCGGCATGACAGTCCAGCACCAATCTGTCCAACGTTTTCATCAAAACCAAAGCGTTGTAATTTATACTGTAAGTGTGTTGTACACAGACCCGGCGTCATGGGCCCGCCCATCCAGGATTTGGGCCCGCTGTTTTAATCAGGGCTGAATACAACATTTTAATTGTTTTATTATTATGTTCAGTGGCGGCGCCAGGGTATACTGGGGTAGGCTACAGCCATACCAAGAAATGGCTTAGCCCCACCATGAAAAATGATTTTAAAGTAAGCAAAATAAAGTCCGCCAACTCGCGCAGAGTAAATTGCACAGACAGCAGTAAATACCGAAGACAAGAAACGGTTTGAAAACTTTTGTCACGTAGTGATCATCTTCTCAAAGGAACATCTTTGATAATGTCTTCTGGCCAATCAGAATCACGATAACGACGTGGTGTTGTTGCAGGAAGTCCCGACGGAGAATACTTTTGCTGTAGTACATCTCTATATATGTCACGATCTGTCTGTGTTGTTGTTTTGTCTTGTCTTTGGGTTTCCTGTTTTATTTTTGTAAATTGTTCACCCCCGTTTCCTGCCTGTTGCTTTCTGTCTGTTTTCCCTCCCTGATTACCCGATTGTGTTCACCTGGTGCCTCTGTGTTTTCTCCTACCTCCTCACCTGTCTCGTGTTTGTTTGATTAGTCCTGGGTGTATTTAAGTTCTGGTTTTTCCGTCTGTCTTTGTCGGTTCGTCTTGTGTTATGACTTGGTCGTCGGTGAGTGTTCTGTTCTGTCTTCGTTTATCGTTTTGCCTTGAAATAAAGGAGTTTTTGATACTTTAATCTGCATTTGGGTCCTGGGTCCTGCTTCCTGCACAAACCGTGACAGAACGAACCGACCAGAAATGGACCCAGCAGATGATCCATTTGAGGTGGAGCTACAGCATTTTTCCTTTGGTTTGGCTTGCTGCTGTGATTGGTGGAGTGGAGCGTCCAGTGTTCGGCAGAGGGAGGCCGCTCTGGTAGAGGCGCACCGGTTGGCTATGGAGAAACCAGACTTGGTGAAGTTCTTGCCTGGCTGGATTTTGAACTTCCTCTGGGTGTGTGATTTCCAGCCTGCTGACTACAAACGTCTCGGTGTGGTCCGTCTGGAGTCAGCCAGTGTTTCTGCCCCAGTTCCTGCTCCTGTCCAGGAGTCGTATTCCGGAACTCGTCAGGCTTATGGAGGTCCACGGAGTATTCAGGAGGCTGCTAAGAGGAGTTGTCGCAAGGCCAGGCTAGCAGCCCGAGCGCCAGCAGCCATGGTTCCGGCTCCAGTGCTGGACCCAGCAGCCATGGTTCCGTGCTCCAGTACCATCCCACATAGCCATGGTACCGTGCTCCAGTACCACCCCACACAGCCATGGATCCGTGTTCCGGTTCCTTGCCCAGCAGTCATGTTTCCGGCTCCAGAACCGGACCTTACAGCCATGTTTCCGGCTCCAGAACCGGACCTTACAGCCATGTTTCCGGCTCCAGAACCGGACCTTACAGCCATGTTTCCGGCTCCAGAACCGGACCTTACAGCCATGATTCTGGCTTCTATTCCGACCCCCGCAGCCATGGTTCCGGCCCCAGCAGCCATGGTTCCGGCTTCAGTACCGGCCCCGGAAGCCATGGGCTCGACTCCAGTTTCGGCAACAGGGCTGGCTCCCCAGCCGACGCCAGCTCCCCGAGTCTTGTCGGCGTACCGGCCGACTCCAGCACCTCGTCTTCTGCTGGCTCCCCAGCCGACGCCAGCTCCCCGAGTCTTGTCGGCGTACCGGCCGACTCCAGCACCTCGTCTCCTGCTGGCTCCCCAGCCGACGCCAGCTCCCCGAGTCTTGTCGGCGTACCGGCCGACTCCAGCACCTCGTCTCCTGCTGGCTCCCCAGACGACGCCAGCTCCCCATGTCCTGTCGGCGTACCGACCGACACAAGTTCCCTCCCGAGTCCCCTCTCCAGTTCCTACCCGAGTCCCCTCTCGAGTTTCCTCTCGGGTCCCCTCTCGAGTTCCCTCTCGGGTCCCCTCTTGAGTCCCTTCTCGAGTCCCCTCTCTAGTCACCTCTCAAGTTCCTACCCGAGTCCCCTCTCAAGTCCCCTCTCGAGTCCCTTCTCGAGTCCCCTCTCTAGTCACCTCTCAAGTTCCTACCCGAGTCCCCTCTCAAGTCTCCTCTCCAGTTCCCTCTTGAGTCCCCTCTCGAGTCCCCTCTCGAGTTCCCTCTCGAGTTCCCTCCTTTAGTCCCCTCTCTAGTCCCTCCTCTAGTTCCCCTCGCGAGTCTCCTCTCGAGTTCCCTTCTCTAGTCCCTCCTCTAGTCCCTCCTCTAGTCCCTCCTCCAGTTCCCTCCTCTAGTCCCTCCTTTAGTCCCTCCTCTAGTCCCTCTCTAGTCCCATCTCTGGTCCCCTCTCTAGTCCCATCTCTAATCCCTCCTTTAGTCCCTTCCCTAGTCCCTTCTCAAATCCCAACCCGATGTCCTGTCCCGTTGGAGGTCCCGCCGACTACTCTCCTGCCGGGGGTCCTGCCAACCCTATGTCCTGTCCCGTTGGAGGTCCCGCCGTCTACTCTCCTGCCGGGGGTCCTGCCAACCCTTTGTCCTGTGCCGTTGGAGGCCCCGCCGACTACTCTCCTACCGGGGGTCCTGCCAACCCCTTGTCCTGTCCCGTTGGAGGTCCCGCCGTCTACTCTCCTGCCGGGGGTCCTGCCAACCCTTTGTCCCTGTCCCGTTGGAGGTCCCGCCGTCTACTCTCCTGCCGGGGGTCCTGCCAACCCTTTGTCCTGTGCCGTTGGAGGCCCCGCCGACTACTCTCCTACCGGGGGTCCTGCCAACCCTTTGTCCTGTCCCGTTGGAGATCCCGCCGTCTACTCTCCTGCCGGGGGTCCTGCCAACCCTTTGTCCTGTGCCGTTGGAGGCCCCGCCGACTGCTCTCCTGCCGGGGGTCCTGTAAATCCCGTGTCCTGGTCCTCTTCCGTGGGGGATCCTGCCGAGGCCTGTCCCACCAGCTCCGACACCGGGTCCTGCCCGGTCTCCGGCACTGTCCCGTCAGCGCCTTCCTGCCCGGCCTCCGGAGCTGTCTGGTCTTCACCCTCGAGCCCGGCCCTCGGAGAGCCGCAGTCTTCGCCCTCGAGCCCGGCCCCCTGAGAGCCGCGGTCTTTACCCTCGAGCCCGGCCCCCTGAGAGCCGCGGTCTTCGCCCTCGGGCCCGGTCCACTGACTCTTCCTGCCGTTGCCTTCGCCCTCGGGTCCGGCCCCCTGACTCTTCCTGCCGCTGCCTTCGCCCCTCCATGGACCCCACCTTGGACTCTGTCTTGCCCCCGGGCCGTCCGCCCGAGTTCCCCTTTTTGGACTCTGCCTTGCCCCCGGGCCGTCCGCCCGAGACCCCTTCCTGGTCCTCTGCCGTGCCCCTGGGCGGTCAGTTTAGTCCCGTCCTCCTGACCCCCCTTCACCCACCCTGGTGGCTTAGTGATGCGTCCCTCCTCCGGTCCCCCTCCACCCACCCTGCTTGAGGTTTTGGACTTTTGTTTTGTTTTGGGACGTCTGGGATCCGTCCCTTGAGGGGGGGGTACTGTCACGATCTGTCTGTGTTGTTGTTTTGTCTTGTCTTTGGGTTTCCTGTTTTATTTTGTAAATTGTTCACCCCCGTTTCCTGCCTGTTGCTTTCTGTCTGTTTTCCCTCCCTGATTACCCGATTGTGTTCACCTGGTGCCTCTGTGTTTTCTCCTACCTCCTCACCTGTCTCGTGTTTGTTTGATTAGTCCTGGGTGTATTTAAGTTCTGGTTTTTCCGTCTGTCTTTGTCGGTTCGTCTTGTGTTATGACTTGGTCGTCGGTGAGTGTTCTGTTCTGTCCTCGTTTATCGTTTTGCCTTGAAATAAAGGAGTTTTTGATACTTTAATCTGCATTTGGGTCCTGCTTCCTGCACAAACCGTGACAATATACATCGATACAACATTACGTGTTGATAGAAATCAACACATAATGAAATAAGACCCCACGGTTTGATGATTGATAGGTGTGTGGGCTGTCTTTCATTTTGACACACAGAACAATGGGGGCTATCCACCCTTATCCACAATGTAAAGTAATTCACACAGCCTATTCCATCTTCTCTCTGTGAGGAGCAGCAGGTTCAGCTTTCAGAACAAAGTAACAAAAAACTAAAATGGCATTCATTTTTTAAAATATGTCGTGTAGTAATAGATTTATTTATTTTTCTTCTCAAGAGAGTACCAGAATGTGTATTTTATGTTAGTATTTCAAAAAATCTCCTGCAGGGGTTGGGTTTTCAGCATGTCAACTCTTTCACCTGTGGGGAAATTGCAGGATTGGCTCCAGGTCGCCCTTTTGATTTACTACAAGACAAATGTGCCTTTTTATTTCATACAGTTCAAATTGGATTGAGACAGGGAAATAATCTAAACCTCACGCGTGGCGTTTCACTGTCAAGGGGAGCGTGTATGTAATTACTTATACTGACTTGAGCCCCACCACTGCATGGGTTAGCCCTACCATAGATTACCCAACAAAAATACTCTGGAGCCGCCACTGATTATGTTTATTGTTATTTGTAGGGCTTTGTCCTAATATTTATTTTTGTTTTAAACTATGTTGAAAGATTAGTTTAATAGCATTTTTTTTATTTTGCTATGAAATTCTGAATGAAATTCTGAATGAAAGGCTGAATGAAATTCAGAATGAAAGGCTGCGCACGAGACTGGTTTTTCGCTGGGTAGAGTCGTGTGGGTTTTTGAGTGAGATACGGCACAGCAGCCTGTCAGTTTACTCTTGCTAGGTTAGTTTGGCTATTATCATTTATATTTATCTGCAACAATGGATATCAAGAAGTGGTTCATGAAAGGAATATGGCAACTCAGCGCCAGATGCAGTCACATTAGAGAAGACATCAGTTACGTTACCAACGAGCTAGCAAGCCAGCCAGGGACAAGGGAGGCTGGCAATCAATTATATTTTTAAGAGAAATTGACTCTCAGGCCGGCTCTCTCACAAACTCCTGCTCTGTGCGCAAGCAGACCGCTGTACATGCTCTCTGCCTCGCTCAATCTCTCTCTCTCTCCCTTTCTCTCCATCGCTCAACCTTACTCCACCTCTCCACCCTGTGTGCGCTCAAGTTTGCCTGCGTGCTTGCCCAAGTTGGCACAGCGTTACAAATGTGCCACAAAACCAACCAATGGATGTAGCCTATAATAAGACCGTCAACAGCCTTATGGCAACCTAACCTTCCCCCCTCCCCTTGACAAATCTCGAGATTTCCCGGGAAATGTAAGTTTCGGGGTGGGCCTGCCCTGGTAAATCAAATGCCCGCCCAGAGACGTATGTCTGCCGCCGGGTCTGGTTGTACATTTTGCAAAAATATGCATGAAAATGTCTGCAGCTCCACTTGCTGGTTTTATTTAGCTTGCATTCTAAACAGCAGAATAAAAAAGAGCAAACCCATTGACATTCTTGTTCATTGGATACATTGTAATAATCGCACATTTTTGATGGAGGCCACTTAATCATCCTTAACAACATCCATCCATCCATCCATCCATCCATCCATCCATCCATCTTCTCCCACGTATCCGTGGTCGGGTCGCGGAGGTATCAGTTCCAGCAGAGAGCCCCAAACTTTATTTTCCCTGGCCACATCAACCAGCTCTGACTGGGGGATCCAAAGGCGCTCCCAGGCCAGCGAAGAGATATAATCCCTCCACCTGGTCCTAGGTCTACCCCTTGGTCTCTTCCCAGCTGGACGTGCCTGGAACACCTCCCTAGGGAGGCGCCCGGGTGGCATCCTAACTAGGTGCCCGAATCACCTCAACTGGCTCCTTTAGACGCGAAGGAGGAGCGGTTCACTTCCGAGTCCCTCCCGGATGACTGAACTTCTCACCTTATCCCTAAGGGAGACACCAGCCACCCTGCGGAGAAAACCCATCTCGGCCGCTTGTATCCGGGATCTCGTTCTTTCGGTCATGACTAGTGGTGCACGATAATTATCGGCCCGATAATTATCGGTCCGATATTAGGAATTATGACGTCATCCCGATAAACCCGATAAAAGTATGAATAGCCCCGATAATATACAATATATTTTTTAGGTAAAAAAAAAGAAAAAAATACTGCGGTGTGGGTGGATTGGGATGAGGGGCGCTTGTTTTTCACTCGGCTCCTCCCGTTTTGCCAGTACTGTGGTATTAGTGGTTTAGGAAGAGGGGAGTTCTTCACAAATCCAGCGCTCCCTAACTCATGCCTGGCTGTGACGTAAATGGTGTGCGGCCGTGAAGCCAGGACAGTAAACAAACATGTCGTCGGTAGTATGGGACTATTTCAAAGTTTCAGAGTTAGATAGTTGTTCGCTTGCTATTTGTATTAACAAATGCAGAAGTTCCACGAGGAGGGAAAAAGGCAACGAGCTATAATACTTCCAACCTGATTAGTCACCTGAAACATCGCCATCGCTATGATGGTGTGTTAAAAGCGTACGAAGACGCCTGCGCTGCTAAACTAGCGGCGAATCCAAAGCAAGCTGCAAAGGCACCGGGGCTTTTACCTATCGACGAGGCTTTTGAAAAAGGCTTTGAAGAGTCAAAACTGTTCTTGGCTTTGTTTTGTTCATAGTAGTAATGCTCATGTCATTTGCTCACTACTAGTCTTTTTTTTACCACCAGGTGTGCAAAAACTACAGGTACATTTAATATATATATATATTATATTATTATCGGTTATCGGTATCGGTATCGGTCTTGAGAAGCAGGAAGTTATCGGTATCGGTTTAAAAAAAAAAAACAATATCGTGCATCCCTAGTCATGACCCATCCTTCATGACCATATGAGGGTAGGAACAAAAATGGCCCGGTAGACAGAGAGCTTTGCCTTCTGGCTCAGCTCCCTTTTCATCACAACGGTGCGGTAAAGCGACTGCAGTACCGCTCCCGCTGCTCCGATTCTCCGGCCCATCTCACGCTCCATTGTTCCCTCACTCGAGAACAAGACCCAGAGATACTTGAACTCCTTCACTTGGGGTAAGGACTCATTCCCTACTTGGAGTGGACAGTCCATCAGTTTCCTGCTGAGAACCATGGCCTCAGATTTGGAGGTGCTGATCCTCATCCCAGCCGATTCACACTCGGTTGTGAACCGATCCAGTGAGTGCTGAAGGTCGCAGACCGATGAAGCCATTAGAACCACATCATCTGCAAAAAGCAGTGGTGCAATCCTTAGTCCACCGAACTGCAGACCCCCTCCCCCATGACTACGCCTTGAAATCCGATCCATGTATATTACAAACAGGATTGGTGACAAAGCCCTCACCGGAAATGGGTCCGACTTACTGCCGAGGACCCGGACACAGCTCTCGCTTTGGGAGTACAGAGATTGGATGGCCCTGAGTAGAGACCCCCTCACCCCATACTCCCGCAGCACCTCCCACAGTAACTCCCTGGGAACTCGGTCATACGCCTTCTCCAAGTCTACAAAACACATGTAGACCGGATAAGCGTACTCCCAGGCCCCCTCCAGGATCCTTGCGAGAGTAAAAAGCTGATCCGTTGTTCCACGACCAGGACGGAATCCGCATTGTTCCTCCTCAATCTGAGGTTCGACAATCGGTCTGATCCTCCTTTCGAGTACCTTAGAGTAAACTTTCCCGGGGAGGCTGAGTAGTGTGATGCCTCTGTAATTGGCACACACCCTCTGATCCCCCTTTTTGAAAAGGGAAACCACCACCCCGGTCTGCCACTCCTTCGGTACTGTTTCCGACTTCCACGCAACGTTGATGAGACGTGTCAACCATGACAGTCCCTGTGACAACATATAAAATATAATTAAATTATATAAACAGGAAACTTCATCTTTCAGTGGAGCAATATCTTTCATATTTCATGCAAAATAACTTAAACCTATAGTAAATAATGTTTTTGATCATTGCAGCATTAGTGAACACATTCACTGTTTTTCCATCTTGGATCACAGATCACCATGAAGAGGCGGTCTCTCCTCTATATTGTCAACTTCCTGGTACCGGTCCTGCTCTTATTCGGTCTGGACTTGGGCTCCTTCGTGATCTCTGACAGCGGGGGAGAGAAGCTCAGCTTCGAGGTCACTTTGCTGCTCGCTGTCACTGTGATGCAGCTTATTCTCAACGACATTCTGCCTTGCTCTTCAGACAAAATACCGCTTATAGGTAAAGCAGCTCAGAGTCATTATTTTATTGGACTTTCATTTAATTCAAGCAGGAACAACAATGGCTTGCCTTTCGTCCACTTTAATGATGTTGCCTTTTCTCTTCAGCGGTGTACTGCATTGGGATATTTGGTTTGATGATGGTCAGCCTTATGGAGACGATTGTGGTGATGTATCTGATTGAGAAAGACTCTGCATCTAAAGAAAGAAAGGCAGATAAAAACCGCAGCCTGAGTGAGGACTGTGGAGACAAACAGGGCAACTATGATGGAGGTGAGACTGAACACATTCTTTAAACCTGTGGGTTTTAACTATCGTTATATTGTATTTACTCATATGTTTGGAATACACAAAGAAACATCCACAATTAATAATACATTATTTTGAACATGCTGCTGTCCTGTGTCAACAATTTCCTTTCAGATGTGAAGAAATGGACTCACTGTGCTTGTGTGTGTAATGTGTCTGATGAACCGCCATCTGAACTGCTGTCTGTGGCCAAAGAGGTGAGAATTGGGTTACTCTTAAAACAAACAGTTTGGTATAAAAATTGTTTACAGTACCAACTAATTATTTTCACCACAATTGACAACAATTGGTATATCAAATTGAACAGCTGGTAATTTGTTATGGTTGTTATGGTCCATGATCACTCCACTAAAAAACCTCTGCAGGACAAAAGAAGCCAACTGATGGAGGAGTCCAATTCCTTGGAGAAGCTCCCAGATGAGCTGAGTGAGGCGGTGAAAGGACTCGCTCTGCTCCTCAGCAGGAAGAAAGAAAGGAAGCCCGACTACTGGACCAGAGTGGCTAAAAAATTGGACATCATTTTCTTTTTCGTCTATGTCACCGTGTCCGCTCTGTTTTTGGTTGTCCTCTTTTCAGTATGGACCAATGCAGAAGATGAGAAGGGGTAAACAATTGGGGTCTTTTCAAAAACATGTTTTTTTTATCCCCCTAAAACGTCTGACATTGACTAAACCGACTTGTATCTTTGCAAGTTTGTCACCAGAGAGAATTTGTTATACATTCTTCTACTAAAGGCGGCAAATGTCTATGGAATAGACTTGCAACACTAAGAATAAATGTATTTCGGGAAAGCTAGAAATAGTTTTCGATCACTTTCTTTTTACTTTCTTGTTTAACTTGTCCTTTAGATGTTTCAAGTGTTTCATGCTAAACAAACCCCCCTTTGGAAAACTATAATCTGACCCCATGGCACCTTTTAGTTTTCGCCGAAACTATTCCTCTTTTTTTCTTTAAATGCACATTAGTTATGTTTAAGTTGTCTTTCTAGGACTTTTTGGTATCCTCCGTGAACCAGGGTCTTGAAACCAAAACGGCACACGTAGGGGACTTTAACCACCTACGAGGGGACTTTAACCCCAATAATTACTTTAACTACCTACGGGGGGACAAGGCATTCAAAAGTGCTTCACAAAAATGAAAGACATTAAGAAAATGGCATTCAAAAGCAAAGATAATACAAGTTACAGTGCAGTTTAAGATATGAATATATCAATTAAAAGCAGCGACCCTAACCCTTTCGATCATCTAAACTTTATATTGATCATAGCAACACATTTTGACAAACTTTAAAACCTGTCTGAAGGCTGACTTGATTAGAACATTCCTTCAATTAACATGTTTGTTACAGCCGCTGCTACCTTGTGCCCTTAACTCTGTTTGTGTGTGTATGCAAATGAGCTGGGCAGTTCCTATGCTGTCAGTGGCCGTCTCGACCTCGCAACATCCGTGGGGATTGGACAGACGTCACCCAAGCCCTGCCCGCTTCTGCCACGTCATCCAGGGGAGGAGTATAAAGGCTTGGCACGGATACCATTCGGGAGGCTCTGTATTGTGTGACAGACGCCTCAACCCTCGCATTGTGACATTGCCTTCGTTCTGTGACTTCTGAGACTGTTTAGCCGTGTGCATGTTGTGTTAGCTACACTGATTAGCAGTGTATTCAGTAGGGTTTCTGGGCGAGCACACTGATTAGCAGCGTGTCGTCGGGTTCTGTGTTAGTATAGGGTTTGTGTGTGTATATTGCTTAGATCCAGGTTGATTAGCACCTGTAGACCAGCATTCCTGTGGGTATATTGCGTAGATCCAGGTGATTAGCACCTGTAGACCCGCACCAGCTGTGTTTTCCCACAGTCCCGTTTTGTTGTTTTGTTTCCACTTCAGAAGTGAGGTATTTCCTTTCCTTTTGTATAGTACTGGGCAACTCTCTTTTGGAGACCCTGTTGTGAGATAGTGACAGATTGACCCGTTGTTGGGCCAAGCTGTTTGTGTACACCATTTACTCAGTTGCCGTTACAAATAAAACCACCGGTAACATATACCAAATCCAATCTGGTCGTGTCGTTTCCCTTTTGTACCCCTAGCCAAGAGGGAACGTAACAATGTTCTTTAACGCATCTGTAGTCAGTCTCAAATCTGTAGTGTAGGTTGCAGTCTATGGTAGGTTGGTTGGTCAGAACCAAAGTTTTAAACACAACTCATTGTTATTTTTAAGAGGGGTCGAGGGTTCAACTTCAACATGAACCCCCAGGGGGAAATCATTAATCATAATGTATTTCTGATGACAGAAAGTTATGCTATGCTCAATAAAGAGTCTGCAATCATATATTACTATTATCAATGTTAACTTAAAATGGGCAGACACTATGCATTGTAATTAATATACTACATTGTGCTATGTCACGTTACACATTTTAATCTGTGTTACGTGCCGCAGTGGGTCCTTGTGTGTGTGTGCTTTTGTGAATTGTTAGGAGATGTGCTCCAGTTTATCTTTGTGTGTGTTGTAGTATTTAGTCACTTTCTTTTAACAGAAAGTTGTTCTTAGTTAATAAAGTTTGTTTTGCAAATTGGCTGGTGAGCCTCTTTACTTTTAATTAAAACCTCACTTTGTGGCTTCAGCAGTCAGTTCCCTCTCCTTTTTCTCTCGCCCGGTTGTTTTTGTCAAAGTTTGAGAGCCTAGTTTAGGAGGGAACGTGACAAATGGGGGCTCGTCCGGGATCTTTGAGACAAGGAGTGAGTACTTGATTGATTGTAGTGTTGATATTGTGTTTGGTGGTGAGCAGTAGTGTATATAAGTGTAGCATTGGCTGTGAAGTATCTTACTGTTGAACAGTGGGAGTGTCTAGCTGGGTTGAATCAGTCCTTCCTTCAGGCACTCATTTATTATTTTGAGTATTGTCATACTGATATTCTGTACAAACTGTGAAGTCCACACAGACAAATGTAACACTTGTGATATTGGGCTATATAAATAAACATTGATTATTTTTGCCTTTTTATTTTCGGGGTAATCCTGGGTGGGGATTTAGTCCCTGTTGGGGGCAGGCGTGTCAGGGTTTCGGCCGCTGATATTTACCTTTTTTAAGTCGCCTCGAGCCCGGTACGCTCCAGAAGATAGGTAGGTAAGTTGTGGTATGCAGGATCTGGGGAAGTTTGTTATTTGAAAGACTAGAGTCAATGTTTGTGTAGCATCAGATATATTTGAAAATTAGTTTGTATGTTTTAGTATGGCCTCCCTTGTGTTGAGTGAGTCCTCTCATACTGGTTCTAAATTAGATGCCAGGTTGAAAGTGAGGTTAGCTCGTCTACGGTGGGAGAAGGAGGAGCGTGAGCGAGAGTTTCAGCTCAGGAGGGAGCTGGAGATCAGAAAGTTGGATGCAGACACAGCTTTCAGGATGCGTCAGCTAGAGCTGCAGACAGGTTCAGTTGGTACCTCTTCGGGTACACAACCATTGTCAGGTTCTGCTGCTGCTTTTGATGTTGGTAGCAACATTCAGCTGGTCCCTGTCTTTCGTGAGTCATAAGTGGAAACCTACTTTGGTGCATTTGAGTTGCTACTGCTCTGCGCTGGCCAGAAGATGTGTGGGCCATACTTTTACAGTGCAAGCTAGTCGGCAGGGCTCAGGAGGCTTGCTCTTCTCTTTCTGTCGAGGATAGTATGGTGTGACAAAGTTAAAGGTGATGTTCTCAGGGTGTTTGAGCTGGTGCCTGAGGCCTACAGGCAGCGTTTTCGCGGCCTGGAGAAAACTCCTGGCCAGACGTAGGTGGACTTCGCGAAGGAGAAGAAAATCCTCTTTGACAGGTGGTGTAGAGCTTGTAAAGCTGATGACATTACCTCAATGTGTGAACTAATTATGCTGGAGGAATTTAAAAACTGTGTACCAGAGCGTACTGTAGTTCATTTAAATGAGCAAAAAGTATCTACCCTTCAGCAGGCTGCCACTCAAGCAAATGAGTTTGCACTTACACATAAAAGCGTTTTTTCTCAGCGTGATCCCCCTCAGCGAGACTTTTAACATAGAGCTCGTGACTAAAGGTGTGTGGCTGCTGCCATGAGGAAATATCAGCATGAATTTACAATGGGCTTTAATGGAGAAATGTTGAAAGTTGTTGTCACTTCATGCACTCAAGAGGCATTTTGTTTTATTTTTTTTATTTTTTTCAATCTATGAGATATTTTCCTACGTTTCTCATGAATAATTATGTCTCAGGAGTGTAGGGTTTGGGAATTAGGGCAGGTTTAAAAAAATAATATGAAGGCGAATTTCAAGCTGTCCTCCACTCTAGCTTTGAGATCACACACTACAGCCTTAACGAGCTGCGCAATACACAAGTGAACATCTGAAGAAGGCCTCTTTACCAAGGCCTGAACAATGTTTAATATCTCTAAAAGTATGAATCTGATTTAAAAGTTGTTTAATATTAATAATGTCAGAAAGATGTATAACATTTTGAAGTTGGAATGAGGTTTCTGAGTGAAAGTATGAAGGCACAGTTAGCAGTTGAAGTCGCATGAAGATTGTTCAAGTCTGAAGAGTTTCTCCATTGACTTCCAGGTTAAAAATGTGATGAATTATGGGATATATCTCGGGAATTATGAATGTTATGAATGAGAAAAGTAATAGCCATCGATTCCCGACCGAGCTGAACGTAATGATGTTTGAACAGAGTTTCTGCGATGTGGAGTGTGGGAGCAGAAGTGCAGCAAAATAACCCGGTAGAATAATAAAGTATTCGTCCGTAGAAGAACAGATAGTTGGAATGCTGTATCACTAAATGATATTGACAGTGGGGGGAAAATGCATAGATATATATAAACACTAGATGACTCACCCACGCTGCTGGCCAATGGAAACCGACGTTGCCACTTGGCCGCCATCTTGCTACAGGCAGTGCTCTCATTCATAACATTATGGTTTACTATTTAAATAACCATAGCTTGCTCAATTTTCAAACGGTTTGGTTTTTTATAAACATCAAAGATGTAGTTATGATACTGCATACTTATAATCATGGACTTTCATATGAAAATAACATTAATCAGATAAAGCAATAGCTATACACACATACACAAGGTATTTATATTAAATATTTGCCAGTGTATATATTTCCATTAATTTTATTATATTGTTAATATTTAAAATAAATTATAAATAAATTATAAAATTAAAATACATTTATATTTTATATATAAAAATCGGTCTCATGTTACCACTCTGTAAGCCAAGAGTTGTTAATTTAGCAATGCCTTAGCTTGAAGAACAGGGACACAACTAATGACAATAGCATATGTTGGTATATTATTTAGATATTCACACCTTTATCAGAAGAACCAAACCAACATAAAATGTGCTCACAGACAGGCCAGTTCTGTCTAATTTATCACAATTATTTTTGACATGAGATCTTCATATCATCATAGTTTTGTATTTAGTTTCTAGATTTGTAAACAAATCCAGAACCTTTGAAATATGTTATTGAAAAAAGACCAAAAATAATATAAACTGTATGTGTCCTTTTGTGTCATTCTGTAGTCCATTTGTGGTTTGTCTTGTCTCACCCCAGCTGATATATCACAAAATCCATTGTTTAAATTGTTCCCTATTGCCCCTATGCCCCTGTAAGGTGTCCTTGGGTGTTATGAAAGGCGGCCCCCCAACATAAATGTATTATTATTATTAAGAAGAACAACTTGGGCCCTTTCTCATTTCATCAAATCCCCCTCCTCGACTCCTCGGTCCTCCGGTAGTGACTCGGAAATGAATTTTAGCGCGCCATGTTGAAGGACATCTCATTTCTCTCAATGCACTTCGAGGACCGAGGATCGAGCGTCGAGGAGTCTCTCTGGAGGAGCTATAACCGAGGATACACTGATGGGTCCTCCACGGTCCTCCACGGCTCCTTCGTGGATGCATTTCCGGGAACAGAGACGTTTCAAAGCGTCGTGACGCACGGTCGGACTTATCTCAGCCAATGACAGCTCTGCATGCATCCCCTGGATATTATTTTATTAACTGCTCTCATCGCAACGCGATGTTTACAGTGAGAACAGCTGTGAGGTCCGTGCAGAAAGCAGAGCCGTGTGTAAAATATATATCACTCAGTATAACAGGCCTACTCTCTTTATTTGCTTTAGTTTAGTAGATATCTATAAACAAAGAGTCGATATTTTTCTAAAACCATTTAGTGCTTCACATAATAAAATACACAACGGCTGTAGCCTGATTATATGCTTTAGGACAGTGTTTCTCAAACTTTGTCATACCATGGACCACTTAATCAATAAAAAAACACTCGCGGACCACCTAACTCCACAAATATCCCAATACACATCGTTTTTCTAGAACAGATTATAAATCGCCTGGAAATGGTACAAACAAGTGGCAACATGTGTGACGAAGGTGTTGCCCTGGGCTTTATCATGCAATAGAAAGTTAAACTTAAACTCGTTCCATTGCGGAGATATTCCCGCGAGAGTGCGGAAATCTTACATTTATTTATTTATTTCAAATGTGAAATGTTACCAATATACTCACGGAGCCATCTAGTGTTTATATATCTATGGGAAAATGCACCCAGCATGCTTATCTCGCCTCTGATTGGCTCTCCACGATCACATGACGAGCCACTGCCCCCTGTAACCAACCAGCATCAAGCATGCAGTGATATATAATGCGGTTCCGTGAGACATTTTCAAAATAAAATAACATGGAAATGTTATTTTTTATTTTTTCATTTCCTTTATTACTTTTGTGTGTCTTCAGATTTTGTGTCCTTGCCAGTCCAAAGGGGACACCCCCTACTTCCAAGGGACGAAACAAAAAAAAGGACATCATTTCCAGTCATTTCAAATCCATCCTGCCTGCACGAGCTGCTGCAGCTCAGTGGTTAAAGCAGGCAGTCCATATCCAGATCACTGTGAGACATTGGTTAAAATCCTCATTCTGGAAGAACATTTTGGGCTGTATATTAACAACAAATCTGTCTGGCCATAAAACATAATTTAAAAAATGAAAAGTTTGCTTGAATATTCACAAAAATTCAGCAAATGCAATAAAAGAAAGGGACGACATGTCCAAACTTTTACTGTTCACTGTCGTATAAATCTCTGTTTTGAGGCGTGTTACTGGATATATCTTTGTTTTTAACTCCGGATTCTGGTACTCTCTGACATGAAAATAAAACAAAAAGACAACATTTACATCAGGCAAATAGGCCAAACAACATTGCTGCATGTTTTTTGGGTAATTTTAGAGTCAGGAGGAATTATTTGTTGTGCAGTGCCTGCGCCCTGCTGCTGCACAGCATTTTCTATTAAAGTTTATTAACATGTCCAAATTGCACATCTTGACACTAAATCAGTCTTCTTGTTTATTCGATTTCTTAATGCACGCTATTTCTCAGAACATTTATAAGTTATACTTTTACAAAATGGTGTGGACTCGGGAGATGTCCCCAGAGTCCCCAGCTCAAATGACGCCTATGGCTGTAACTAAACTCTGTGGGACTAATGAATGAATTCTGATTGATATCCAAATGTGTGCTTTTATTTTGAAGGCCGTCCAGAAACCGGCGTTTTCTCTTCCCGGTTTTGTCTGTTTTGACTTTTATTCGACCTCGCTGTCAGGTTACTGAGTTGTCTGGACAGTCACTTTAAAAAACAGAGACATGCAAGATTTCTCACATTGCTTTTGTTTTTGTTGGCGCTTTACTGTTTTGTTAGCAAACTAGCTTAGATAGTTAGCTTGCAGCAATGTCAACGTGGCAAAGGGTGCATGTGCATCTGCGGAAAGCACATGGATTATTTCCAGTTTCCTCCAGACGGGTGACACAACCAAACACATGGAAGTATGGACATTTAACGTTATGCAAAAGCCTGAGTACAAGCAGACCTCTCCGGGATGACTTCTTTAAAGGTAGGGGGACATTATAGGAAGTGTCATCAATCCAAGCCAAATCAGAGCCAAAAATCATCACATTATGTATTTGTTTGTTAATCTACAAATGTAGGACACTTATATGTCACATCTGAAGCTCTCTGTTAAAAAATTAAAGGTATTTCTACAATTCGGCATACATGTAATTGTCCAAGAAACAGTTAGTTCTCTCAAAATGTGTAAATCAGAGAAAGTTTTCGAGAGGTAATCATCAGAAAAGCTAGCGAAGTCTCAGTCAGAAATCCTCCAATCCTTCATTTATTTGTTAATTCATCAATGTAGGAAACTTGTATGTCACATCTAAGATCCTCTGTTGAACAATCAAATGTATTTCTACACATCGGCATGCATATATAAGCTTTAAAGCAACAGTTAGTCAACAATAACATTTACATTTCCCACTGCTTCTCCTTAGTAGATTTAAAGCTGACCCAGTTAAAAGAGGAAGTCAAAATAAAAAATGTATACAAGCCGAATTGTAGAGAAAAGATCTTAAGTTTTGGTCTGGTGCGACTCAAAATCTGCCAAATGATGATGATTCAGCCCCACTGCTTATCCTAACATTACAGTAGATTTAAAGCTGCTCCATTTACCAGGAGAAGTCAACAGTGGTGTAAAGTAACTAAGTAGATTTACTCAAGTACTTGACATTTACTTGAGTATTTACATTGTCTGCTACTTTGTACTTCTATTCCACTACACTTCAGAGGTACATGGTGTACTTGTACTCCACTACATGCATGTAATACCTTTAGTTACTTCACAGATGTGGATGAATGATGTGAAATATAACCAAGTGTTAAATCAGACTTTAGTTCCACCTGGAGTAAATCCACCAGCTACCCTGCAGTATACAAAGTCATTCAAACTAGCTGCACCTTTACCAGCTTTGAGAACACTTTAATGATCAATCATTATAAAACATATCATATATATTATTCTGAAATGGACCAATCTGCACAACGACTACTTTTACTGTCGCTACTTTCACTATATTTTGATGAGAATACTTTCCTACTTTTACTTGAGGAACATTATATAAGATCTGAGTACTTCTACTTTTACTCAAGTACTTGATCTGAGTACTTCTACTTTTACTCAAGTACAAGATCTGAGTACTTCTACTTTTACTCAAGTACAAGACCTGAGTACTTCTACTTTTACTCAAGTCCAAGACCTGAGTACTTCTACTTTTACTCAAGTACTTGATCTGAGTACTTCTACCACCTCTGGGTTTTGGCTATATTAATAAACGTTGATTTGATTCAGAACTGGAGGTCCAGCTGGCGGCCATGAGGCAGAAGGCTCTGGACGCTCTGCCGGGGAGCGGCTGGAGCCCGCTGGGGATGGACCAGAGTCTCCCTCCAGAGAGGGCGGATATTGTGATCGTGGGGGGGGGGCGTGATCGGCTGGTCCATCGCCTACTGGATCAAACGGAAGGAGAGGGAGCGAGGAGGAGTGAAGGTGGTGGTGCTGGAGAAGGACCCAACGGTGAGAGACCAGGAGAGACCCGTTACCATGCATTGTTGTTTACATCTTTTAAAAAGCATCCAACAGTATGTATAGCTTAAAACCACTTGATGGACATTTTCAAACATGCTGCAAGGCATCCTATAGTATGATTTATTTAATGGGTTTTGCACAGTTAAAAAATACACTTATATAAAACAAACAATCGCTTGAATTCAATAACAATGGCAAACTTTAAGAACAACATATACTTTGTACATTTATAGTATAGTACATTGCATAATTTAATCAGGCCATCGCCTTTACTTATTCATTCTTGCCGGTATCGTTTCTGTCGCAATTTTCTTGGCGAATTTCATTTTCTCTCTAATTTCACACAAACTAGTGTTTATTCTTTTTCGTATCTTATTGTCATCTGGTATTTCAAGACATTAGTTGTTCTCCATTTGGATGTTGAATAGTTTGCAATAAGGAAGGATGAAACGATTGGAGGAGAAACAACAAATAAATCACCTTTTCTTTTTAAACTTGCAGCAGCTCCTAGATGAGTGAAATTATGGTAAACTTTCTGGACAAAAATGCCTGAAACATTTGTATTTGAGAGGGAATTTCTCTGCAAGTGGGGAAAAGAAATAAGGTTGTAATACCACAATTAATCAAAGAAGAAAAATATTTAATATATCTGAGTGTTGACACTAAAAGGACAAGATACAAGAGCGTCTGTAGGTTCAAACAGAGTCTAAAATCCTCCCAAACATAACACACAGCAGCTTGTTGTAATCTTCAAAGCTTCCCCTTCTTGTTTCTCCGCAGTATTCGCAGGCCTCCACGGTGCTTTCTGCAGGAGGCATCCGACAGCAGTTCTCTCTGCCCGAGAACATCTGCCTCTCCATGGCCTCCGCTCAATTCATGAAGAACATCAATGTAGGTCGAGTCTGCACTCAACGCCAATGAACTACAGGCCCTTTAAATCATTGAATGTCACAGTCCCTTTTGTTATGTAAATATGCAGAGTTAAAGTTTATTGACAGAACACATTTCAACACTAAGGCAATTCAACATGCAAGAGAAACACGGTATGCAATGTACTTTAAGAGACAAAAATACAGAAATAATAACAAGTTAAGAATAAGACGGGTATAAAAACACTTAGGCAAGATCTTCTAATTGTATGCCTCTTTATGGCCTCAAAACAGCTCATGTAATATTCTCAATTTAGGGCCAACAAATGTAAATTTGGTTGCTAATTGATTTTACGATTAAAACAATTACATTTTGAATTATTTACATGTTAATTTATTGGTTAATAAATTAGATTTAATGCCGTTTTTTCCCAAATGTAATGGGTATTTCTATACTAATTTAAGTGTCCCATCTACCTTTTTTCGGTAGTGCATTAGTTCAATTCATGGCGTAAAATATTCTTCAAAAATGACAACTTTCCTATTTTCTAATATTATCAAAAAGTATTTTCTGTTGTATTTTTTGCATTTTATTTTCAATTTGTCGTATAGATTATATTCGTGCCTAAAAAATAGACTTTTTTAATGTTCTAATATTATCTAAATCTCCTCTCGGTTATTTTTCATTTTCTTAGTTTGTAAATGATTTTTCTGCGTCTCAGGAACATCTCCACGTGTTGAATGAAGACCCGGTGGACCTCCAGTTCAACCACTCGGGATACCTCTTCCTGGCCAACGAGGAAGTGGCTCACATCATGGAGGAGAACTACAAAACCCAGAGGTGTCGGCCATCTTTCATCCAGAGTTGTAGTTTTGAATTGTAGCTCTAAGGCAGGGCTTCTCAAACTTTTTTCAGTAATGTACCCCCGTTGAAACATTTTCTCAGCCAAGTACCCCCTGACCGATCCCGAAATGTTTTGATCGAAAAAGCCTATATAAATAATTACAATATAGTGATGTTCTCTCAGTGTGTGATGTATTAACTCCTTCGTGGTATGCATTACAACAAACTAAGGATATTTTCATTTTATGCATGAAGAAAAATAACAACACTTTTTCCAAGGAGTTTTTCAATTTAAGTAATATGTTATTGTGAAAAACTATAAAATACAATACACACATTTGACATGTTTATATGAGGACCCCCTTGGTGGTTCTAGGAAGGTTTTATATACAATTGTGTTTTCTATTTTACTTATTTTACTAAGATTATTATTTTAATTAACCTTTTTTATTATTATTATTATTTTTTTAAATCTCACGTACCCCCTGCAGTACCCCAACGTACCCCCAGGGGTCCGCGTACCCCCATTTGAGAATCACTGCTCTAAGGCACAATTATATTTGTTATTTTTTTTAAATAAATGGTTATTTTTGTGTCTGTAGGAGCTTCGGAGCCCATGTTTCTCTTCTCTCTGCGACTCAGTTAAAGGAGAAGTTTCCGTGGATAAACACAGACGGTGTCGCGCTCGCTTCATACGGTGAGTGACACAATTATAATATACATAATCACTACAACGTGTTTGACATAATAAGACAACTTAAAACATTTTAATCTCAGCTGGTTATTGTCAGATTTGATAAGAAAATGTGTTTTTAATTTGAATTTAATACACTGATTTCACATGTATTCTTTATAATGCTGTATGTATTTATGATATGCCATCATTTCAGACTTGTGAAAAATCCTTAAAAGCCATTCTTTTAATAATTGATTTTAAAAAATAAATAATTGATAACCATTATAATAAAATGTCTTTAATGAATATTTTAAAAAGTCTAAAAAAAATTACAAAACAAGGGAAGTAGAGTGTAGCGAGTAAAACTCTAACACAGAGAAGACCTGTCTATGCTGCTCCAGAACGCCTCGTTGGACATTTCTCTTTTCCTCCGGGAACCAAGCGACGTAATGACGATCCAAATGGACCAATCCGTGGAGCTCCTCACACACACACACACTCACTCAGCCGTATCTTTTCTCAGCCGCAGCTCACGTGTGTGTGCTCCAGTGGCGTAGCCAGGAATTATTGTGTGGGTGGGCCTGGAGAAATGTAGGTGGGCCAGGGCGAGACATATTAAGCGTGGGGTCTGAGCTGAAACTTCATTAATGATTTTAATGATTTTTTAATGCACTAATAGAACATAAGCATACATTAGCAGTGAAAACAAAAAACATGCACGGCGGCCTCAGAATGTAAAACTGACATCCACATAGGGATGGGTATCGTTAAGGTTTTAACGGTACTACTACATTTATCGATAGCGCTTATCAATCCGGTCCTTTAACATTACTTTTATCGGTTCTTTTGGAGAAAAAAATAAGGTAAACTAACTAAACAAATTGTGAACAAAACTAACATTGCTTTTTATTTAAATTAAATAAATAATATTTCACATCAAAAGAAACAACAGTGTTTTAACAAATCGTATTAAATAATGTGATGACAGAATAGCTGAAACTTTAACAAAATAAATAACTCAGTTTCCTCTAATCATTAACCCATGTTTGTATCATGTAGTTAACTCCGTGTGTTGCTGCTAGCATACATAACACCTGACGTGGAAACGTTACTCGTGGACGGGGCTACAGAGCTACTAGAAAGACAGTCGAACGCGGTGCATTCCTCCGTCTGGATGTGGAGCACTTTTGATAAATGTTTAGACACATTGCTCGTGTTACCGCCCTTACATGCTAAACTCTTATTCCACTGTTGGTAACGAGTATTGTCCACATTGACACGGCTATAGTTTAACCACCTCGGAGCGCGTTCTCTCCGCCATCTCCTCCGTGTGTGTGTGTTGCTGCATGTAGCAGCTGCGTGTGTGTAAACTGCTCCGCCCCCTCGCACACAGACGGGGGAGAGAGATCTCTCGACTGGATTGGAAAGATCTAAAATACTAAAAATAATCGCATTTTGCTGTCTTTTGCATATTAGAAATGGAGTTGGCGACACTTAAACTGCAATGTAATGTTTGTGTAGCAATAATACATACGACATATATCGGGGGCCACAGGTTGTTTATCCTTGACAGTCGCACAGTGGGCACACACTGAGTGTTTTCATATTCAGCAAATGTGTACACGCTAAACTGCAGACCTCAAGAAGAAATAATACTTTCATTCACTCACGGCAAAAGTTACTTTACTTACTATAAAAACTCACGGTAAAAAAATGCACTCCCTATTCCATTGTCATGAAGGTGGAATCTAACTATATCCAGAATACGTTTTATTGGATCCAGGCTAGAAACATGTTTATTTCTGCTGTAAAGTTGGGCATTTTAACATGGGGGTCTATGGGAATTACTCCTTTCTGCATCCATCCCCTGTCGGCCACTAGATGAACTGCAGTTTGTGGCACTTCCTTCTGTGCTTCCCGGCTCTGCGCTATGACGCGCATGTGGGTGGGCCCAGGCCCACCCGGGCCCACCCACAGCTACGCCACTGGTGTGCTCAGGCTGAGTTTCGCCATGTCTCGCTGTCTCGCAGACCCCACGCAGCAACCAGGAAACGACACCAGTAATCCAGCTCACACTGTCCGCTCCTCGAGTCTCAAAAGGCGGAGCAGCGAGCCCCGCAACGTCCCGCCAACACGGCACCCAGACCCCACGCAGCATTGTCATCTGTTTGTCATTACTGGTGACATGTCCTGGTTGCTAACAAACGGCATTGTAACTAGGGCTGCTCAATTAATCATATTTTAATCACAATTATGAATTTGGCTTGCAACGATTATGAAAACAACATAATCGAAATAAAACGATTATTTTTTTTAATATATATATATTTTTTTGTATTGGTTTTTCAGTTGAATTATACTTAAAGTTCAGGGTAATCAACTGTTAAAAACATACTGTTCACATTTTTCTTTTCAATAAATGGATGTTTTCAAAGTACATGGTTAATCGTTTTTTAATAATCGTGATATCAATTATTGACCCAAATAATCGAGATTATGATTTTTGCCATAATCGAGCAGCCCTAATTGTAACAGATAAACACACATCAGAGCACAGTGGGCTCACAGGGAGGGGGGAGGGGCAGGAGCTCCAACAAGCCGTGTAGGACAGAGAGTGAATACACATAGTATACAGAGATGCTGTATGAGAAACCAATGTGAGTTTGGAACATTGAACAATGTAAATCTATTCTAGTAGACCTCAACAATGGAATCATGATCAGTAGAAATGGCCATGACATGGGACCTTTAATATATTTTAATTTTGGAGATCTCAAAATAATCTTTAACATCAATATTAAACAAACCAAATGCCAAATGTCATTAAAAGTAACTTAGATTAAACCTGAAGAAATGAATACTTTCACTTAAGTAACATGTTGAAAGCAGGACTTGTTATAGTATAATTCAAGAAGTGTTTCCGTTTAATTGATTCATTATTTTCTCAAATTCAAAATCGAGCGACTGTTACGATATCCATATGACTCCCCCAGCGATAAATAAAGTATTTCCGACTCTGATCCTGATTCCTACACTGTAATATTACTACATGTTCTAAAGTAAAAGTACTTCCTCCTCCTCTTCCAGGGCTGGAGAACGAGGGCTGGTTCGACCCCTGGACGCTGCTGCAGGCCTTCAAGAGGAAGGCTCTCTCTCTGGGGGCGGAGCAGTGCATCGGAGAGGTCACAGGTGAGGGGTTAAAACTGAAACATCACGATATAGATACGTGAACGATAATACTTTAATCGTCAGATCAAGTCTGACATTTGACTTGCATCACAGCAGCTCCATGTGTAACATCAACATAGACAGATATCAAGACACGATACATGAAAAACAAACATTTAACATAACAGCACAATCAGTGAGAGAAAACCTGCTCAAAGAGCCTTCAGCGTGCATTTGATCTGTGGTTCAGCTCTGTGTTTACTGAGAGGGTTGACTGATGCATACTAGGGATGGGAACGATTAATCGAATATTCGAATATTCGAAATTATTCAGGTATTCGAATAATAATTAATGTATTCGAATATGAGTTATGAATATATTTATTAATTTTTTTTTTTTTTTTTGGGAGTGATGCCTAAGTTGATTACATATTATCAAATTGAATAATTCAATGTATATATATACGACTATGCCATAGCTAAATGTGTTAGGTGACGTCTAAAGGTGTGTTTTGCTCCGCTCACCGGTCCCTTGCAGAGCTGCAGGTGCTGATCTCTCTCTCTCGTGTCCGGTTATACTTCACTCGCGTTTATGTCCAAATCCATCAGATCTAGCTCTAGCTAATGATATGGCTGCTGCCCCTCCCTACACGCAGATCACGCAGACTCAAACCTCATCTTAGGCCCAAATGTGGCGCAAATGAGCTCCGCAGCCGTTGCGAGGTTCCGGCGCTAACAGTTCATGAGCGTGCTCCCCCGCCCCCTGTCAACACTCGCGACACATGAGTGGCCAGCCTAAACAACAATAAGCGCTGCTTGGCAACCGTGTGTGGCGGCAAAGTGCATAGACATTTTGACAGGAGAGATTTAGTTTTGCCGGTATTCAACATATTTTACCAGTCATAGTCCGGTAATTATTTACACTCTCGAGTCCTACACAACAGACATGGTGTCAAAAAGGAGTAATGTGTGGAAATATTTCGACCAGGTTAGTGAGTGCGGTGTAGAGGTCAAACTATGCCAAATTAAACTTATATATGCATGCTATACCTTGCTATACCCGCAACCTCCGTTCCAGCTGAGAGGGTCTTCTCTACAGCTGGCCTGATTGTGAATCGCCTCCACACATGAAAGCTGTAGGCCTATAGCTGTCAAACTGTGATCACCAGTTCAATACATTTGACAAATTCGACTTGGTTTCTACACTTATTTGAACATGTATGTATTTCTAAAAAATTCTTGAAAAAAAATTGGGTAAAAAAAAAAATTCTGGAAAAAAAGATTTTACTCAATTTTTTTTTTATAGGATATGTACATTTCGGTTAACCGTTTTTTGGGGGGTCGAATATACATTTGCTTTCAAATTCCCATCCCTAATGCATACTAGAGGCTTTGTTATCCTTAAGTTTGTTAAAGAATCACTTATTTATTATATATAACTGAAGGTATTTCAACACAAGTAAGACCGGGCTGGTTCAACATGTTGTATTTTAATTAACATTTGTATTACACATTACCTTCCCATGTATATCAAATCCTCTTTTTATGTTTTAGTAGGTATAGTTTGGTCTAATCTAGTGGATTATTTAGGCTTTGTTATCCTTAAGTTTGTTAAAGAATCACTTGTTAATTATATATAACTTTTTCAACACCGGTCTGGTTCAACACTTGAATTAAAAAATGTATTACGCCTTACTTTCCACACTTGTCCAATGTATATAAAATCAAATGTTTTAGTTGTTGTAGTTGGGTCTAATCTAGTGTATTCTAACTTATTTCTAAATATTTAAAATGGTGTATTGTATAGATAACCAATATATATATATTTTTTTATGTTTTTGGTATTTTTTGACTGATATCAATGTTTTAATTTCTTCCACAGATTTTAAATACACATCAAACATTGCTATAACCACTGAAGGTGATCAAGTGGTTCAAAGGAGGATCAAATCTGTCAAAGTAAGTGTGGCTACACCTTGGTGTTTAAATTCAATGTTACAAAGATTTGTGACGTCCAACAAATAAATAAAATATTCAATTCAAAGATCTCCATTTTAAATATTCATCAACGTTTAGTGACAGTTCTCTTTGCTTAATATACAAACATTAAGTATTGCTTTACTTAACTCAGTTTATCATGTTGTTCACAAGTTTAACAAAAACAGGATTGACAATTTAATCTAAGTTTTTCATCATTGAAAGGGGACCGATCATGCAAAATGCACTTTTTGATGTCTTTTATACATAAAGATGTGTCCCCGGTGTGTCGGGGAACTCACGCAGCGTCAGGAAATAAACCCCTCTCTCTTTTCCTCCGTACCCAAATCTCTAAAAACGGGGAACCACGGAGCTGATCCAGATTTGCGTCCGATATGATATAATATCTGAAATGTGGACCCACGGCCCAATCAGAAACGTTGCTATCAGAAACAATGCCCGACTGTTTTGGACGTAATATGGTCTTTGTTTACATTAGCATCGCTAACACTCAGAGCTAACCTGTACTGGAGAGCATGTGTGTGAAGAAGCAGGAAGTCAAAAGGAACTCACCTTGTGGTAGGGCTGAACGATATATCGTGTCATGGCGATAACCGCGATATGCGCATGCGCGATATTCACATCGCAGGGACTTGCGATTTTATTTTATTTTTTTATAATATATATATTTTTTTCATTTATTTTTTAGGACGTGCGATATTAAGTAGGCAAATTAACTCAAACACTTCATGTTACAATTATTTTGCTGCTTGCTACAAAAGGAAAACTTGCGCGGCTCTCATGTCAGGGGTTCTTGAGTGAGTGACATGCCGGCCCTGCATGCACAGCAAACCACCAATCACAATCATTCTAGATCAGATCACAGCAGGCTCCACCCCGCTAGTTTGCAGACCATTAAAACACCGGTAAAAAATGAGCGAGGCACAGGAGGACAATACCGGCGAGAATGAAGATTTACTTCCAAAAAGAAAAGCAACATCTGCCATCTGGAACTATTTTGGATACAAAAAGGTTCTTCACAGATGAACCCCCTTACTTGAGGGTAAGCAACATGCATTATCATGACATATTAGATCATGACTTCTTAAGGTATGATGAGTCAATCAGTTAAGATCCAGACGACTAAAATCCTTCATCCGGTTAAATATAGTTAAAAAAAACGCAAAATATATATCGCAGGGGAAGAAAAAAATCGCAATGTCAGTTTTTTTCAATATCGTGCAGCCCTACCTTGTGGTATAACCGGCAAGAGAGGAAGCCTTTGAGCTCCAAACTGTTTCAGAGAGAATCCTTGATAATCCATGATATGGCGTTTCATCACGGCAGCATTTAGTTTAGACAGTAGCTGCCGGGTCCCGCATGAGCTCAGACCCCTCCCTTTTTTTGATCAATTCTTTATTTTTATTAAAGCTTTATACCCAAATCAGCACTTTTGAAACAGGAAGTGAAATAGAGGGATAGAATGGGTGATCTGTTTGGTATTTTGAAACACTTCATAGACATGTTTTTTATATATGTTTATATATCTAGAAAGTTGTTAAATAAGTATTGCTAGTAAATGTAAAAAAATCAAGTTCTCACAAAGATGCCGGTTTTGAAGCAGATGCTAATATAGCGCTTTTTTAAAGAATACAACTCCTTTGCTTTTTTATTCCTGTTGTCAGACAGACTTCATTTATATAACAATTAAGTATTGGTTTACTAAACTCAGCTTATCATGTTGTTCACAAGCGGCAGTGGTTCAGTCTGTAGGGGATTGGACTTTGGACCGAAGGGTTGCCGGTTCACGTCACGATTGGACCAAATAATACGGAGTGTGGACTATTGCACGATTTTGGGAAAAAATCTAATTGCGATTTTTCTGACAAATATTGCGATTCGAATTGCGATATTTGTTTTTAAGCGACCCAACGTAAGTTTATTGTAAAATGCGGCCATATCTCCAGCTAGGAAGGTCGCATCAACGTGCTCCTGTCTCTAGCACCCCCACAGCCCGAGCTACGAGTGAAAAAACTAAACTTACATGAAACTTCCGTTGGGTTGCTTTAAAGTCAAGCTTCAGTTTAAGATTCACGCTGTAATAGAAACATGTGATGGAGCATTACTAACCTGACTCAGAAACCATCTAAAGCTCCATTGGAAGCCATTTGGAAAGGGCAGGCACTTTCAAAAATACTTGGCAGGTGATTGGATCAATCTGTCTATCACCTTCTATCATGGGCCACTTCTGATTGATTAACAATGGCTGGTACATGTGGAGCACAGCACTTCTGATTGGTGTGGATGACTGACACACAAGAAAAGAAAAAAAAAATGTAAAAAAAAATCGCCGGCTTTCAAATCGCGTTTTCGATTCAAAATCGATTAATCGTTCAGCCCTAGTGTGGACTGGTACTGGAGAGGAGCCAGTTCACCTCCTGGGCCACTGCCGACGTGCCCTTGAGCAAGACACCTAACCCTGTAACATGTGTGTGCACGACAGAGTGGAAACTGAATTTCTTCTTCTTCTTCACAAGAACAGGATTGACAATTTAATCAAGTTTTAGAACGTTTTCAAATCAGTATTCCTAGTAAATATGAAAAAAACAAGTTCTCACAATCAAGTTTTTGAAGAAGATGCTCAAAAAAAATAATACAACTCCTTTTTTGTGTGATCAAATTGTTATCGATTAAAGGTAGGGTAGGTAAGAATGGAGAAACCAGCTCGAGTGCGCTAGAATTTGAAAGTACGCAGCCGAAAAAATCTGCCCCTTCCTTCAGACTTCCTCACAGAGCCCCTCCTCCAACACACACGAACGCTAAGTAAGATATTCATTGCTATCGGGATGTTAAGAGCATTCCATGGAATATAACAAAAAGTGTATCTCGAGCCGGTTTCTCAAACTTACCTACCCCACCTTTAAGTTGTGCATACCATGAACGGAACAAATAAAAATGAAATGAAATGTAATAATGTGTTTGACCAGGTGCAGGTGAGCAACAGTCTGGAGTATCAGCACATTGAATGCGCTATGGTGGTGAACGCAGCCGGAGCTCTTTCTGGGAAACTGGCCGCCATGTTGGGAATCTCACTTCCTGTGGAGCCACGCAAAAGGTCAGTATTCACTCAACTGGTATATTAAAGGTCACCTATTATGCAAAATCCTCTTCTTCATGTCTCTCCTACATCAACATGTGTCCCCTCTTCTTCATGTCTCTTCTACATCAACATGTGTCCCTCTTCTTCATGTCTCTTCTACATCAACATGTGTCCTCTCTTCTTCATGTCTCTCCTACATCAACATGTGTCCCCTCTTCTTCATGTCTTCTTCTACATCAACATGTGTCCCCTCTTCTTCATGTCTCTTCTACATCAACATGTGTACCCCTCTTCTTCATGTCTCTCCTACATCAACATGTGTCCCCTCTTCTTCATGTCTCTTCTTCATCAACATGTGTCCCCTGTTCTTCATGTCTCTTCTCCATCAACATGTGTCCCCTCTTCTTCATGTCTCTTCTACATCAACATGTGTCCCCTCTTCTTCATGTCTCTTCTACATCAACATGTGTCCCCTCTTCTTCCACGTCGCTTCTACATCAACATGTGTCCCCTCTTCTTCATGTCTCTTCTACATCAACATGTGGTCCCCTCTTCTTCATGTCTCTTCTACATCAACATGTGTCCCCTCTTCTTCATGTCTCTTCTACATCAACATGTGTCCCCTCTTCTTCATGTCTCTTCTTCATCAACATGTGTCCCCTCTTCTTCATCTCTCTTCTACATCAACATGTGTCCCCTCTTCTTCATGTCTCCTCTTCATCAACCTGTGTCCCCTCTTCTTCATGTCTCTTCTACATCAACATGTGTCCCCCTCTTCCTCATGTCTCTTCTACATCAACATGTGTCCCCTCTTCTTCATGTCTCTTCTACATCAAACATGTGTCCCTCTTCTTCATGTCTCTTCTTACATCAAACATGTGTCCCCTCTTCTTCATGTCTCTTCTTCATCAACATGTGTCCCCTCTTCTTCATGTCTCTTCTACATCAACATGTGTCCCCTCTTCTTCATGTCTCTTCTACATCAACATGTGTCCCCTCTTCTCCATAGGTCTCTTCTTCTTCATCAACATGTGTCCCCTCTTCTTCATGTCTCTTCTACATCAACATGTGTCCCCTCTTCTTCATTCTCTTCTTCATCAACATGTGTCCCCTCTTCTTCATGTCTCTTCTACATCAACATGTGTCCCCCTCTTCTTCATGTCTCTTCTACATCAACATGTGTCCCCTCTTCTCCTGTCTCTTCTACATCAACATGTGTCCCCTCTTCTTCATGTCTCTTCTAATCAACATGTCCCCTCTTCTTCATGTCTCTTCTACATCAACATGTGTCCCTCTTCTTCATGTCTCTTCTTCATAACCATGTGTCCCCTCTTCTCCATGTCTCTTCTACATCAACATGTGTCCCCTCTTCTCCATGTCTCTTCTACATCAACATGTGTCCCCTCTTCTTCATGTCTCTTCTACATTCAAACATGTGTCACCTCTTCTTGCTTCATGTCTCTTCTACACAACATGTGTCCCTCTTCTTCATGTCTCTTCTACATCAACATGTGTCCCCTCTTCTCCATGGTCTCTTCTAACATCAACATGTGTCCCCTCTTCTTCATGTCTCTTCTTCATCAACATGTGTCCCCTCTTCTTCATGTCTCTTCTACAATCAACATGTGTCCCTCTTCTCCATGTCTCTTCTACATCAAACATGTGTCCCCTCTTCTTCATGTCTCTTCTACAATCAACATGTGTCCCCTCTTCTTCATGTCCTGTCTCTTCTACAATCAACATGTGTCCCCTCTTCTTCATGTCTCTTCTTCATCAACATGTGTCCCCTCTTCTCCATGTCTCTTCTACATCAACATGTGTCCCCCTCTTCTCCATGTCTCTTCTACATCAACATGTGTCCCCTCTTCTTCATGTCTCTTCTACATCAACATGTGTCCCCTCTTCTTTCATGTCTCTTCTACATCAACATGTGTCCCCTCTTCTTCATGTCTCTTCTACATCAACATGTGTCCCCTCTTCTCCATGTCTCTTCTACATCAACATGTGTCCCCTCTTCTTCATGTCTCTTCTTCATCAACATGTGTCCCCTCTTCTTCATGTCTCTTCTACATCAACATGTGTCCCCTCTGTGGAAAGAGGACTCTGAAAGTTTCAGGAACAAAGATTCTCTCTCTTTTTGATCCATTTCTATAAAAACCTGTCTGAAAATGAGCTGATCAGATTTTGGCCACTTTATGATGTCATAACGATGTTTTGTCTTGTGTAACCATTAGCCAATCAGCAACCAAGGTAACCCCCCCCCCCCTTATCACCTGAACCTCCTCCTAGAGCACCATTGAGTTCTTTGTAACCAAATGTCTCTCAGAGGGGCGTGGGGAGGGGCTCCTTATTTTCATCTAAAGTAACAGACAGAGAATCAGCACTTTGGAAACTCGGCTCGAGATACACTTGTTGTTATATTCCATGGAATGCTCTTAACATCCCGATAGCAATGAATATCTGAAGTGCTTTGACAAAAAATACATAAACAAATCTCATCTGTGGAAGCTGTGGCGCTGTAAAAAGCACGACCAATCATCTGAGCCGGCTAAAGTAACTGGATGGCCGACCTGCCTGTCAGCCTTCCATCTGGGCACAAACTTGCCCTCATTGGTCATGTGCGCGTTCGTGTGTTGGAGGAGGGGCTCTGTGAGGAAGTGGGAGATTTGTTCCGGCTGTGTATTTTCAGATTCTAGCGCACTCGAGCTGGTTTCTCCAAAATGACCTACCCCACCTTTAAGTATTTATTTTCCCATTTCTTTTTGTATCTACTAGTACTACTTATTATTAAGCCTTATAGTGCAGACTCTCCTCTTTATACTGTTTATTTTTGCTTACTCTAAACACAATTACACGTTTATTTACATAAACAAGAGGTACACACTTACAAAAAAACATATACATATACAAAAAGATGCATATTTTTATTTGTTTTCATTTTGAATACATGTCATCTCTTTTGCACTACACCACCTCACAGCTTTCTCTGTTAAACCGTCACTAAATCTTTCTTCATGCCGCCTGAAGGAGCTCTTCCTCCAAAGAGAAGCGGATTAACCCTGACCTGAAAAAACAGCAGAAAGACTTAAATTTTTACGGTTTTTATGCCAAATATTCCCTGAAAAACTGACTTTAACTGCATGAAAAACCTTAAGCAACGTTCAGAGGCAGGTACACATATACTGTATGGAAGAATTTGTAGATATAACTTTATATATTTTGTAATATTACTTGTTTGCAGGTACATATATGTGTTGAACTGTCCTGACGGCCCCGGTCTGGACACTCCCTTCCTGATCGATTACTCTGGAGTTTGGTTCAGGAGGGAAGGGTTGGGAGGAAACTACATCGCTGGGACCTCACCAGAGGAGGTGTGTGAAACAAAACAAAAAGTGTTGTACACACTTAGCTTTAATATCTTTTATGGCTGCATAGATTGCGAAACTCTTGGGTAATACCAATTTGGCTCGATTGGCGAAAGATTGAGTGTCAGTTTTTTTGGTTGTTTTCCCCCCAATTTTCCCATAAATCTGGTCTTTTTCAGAATGATTACGTACAAAATACTTACCCAATTTCCATAAAACTCTTGGGTAATACTGATGTTTCAAATAACCATTTGGGTTGATTGGCGAAAGGAAAGATGGAGCTTGTGTTTTAGTTGTTTCTCCCATAATTCTGACGTTTTTCCGAATGATAACGGACTCAATACTTACCCAATTTTCATAAAACTTGGCAGAAAATCTTGGTAGAAAAGAGTGTGTCAAGGGCGATTATATCGTGGAGTGGATCCAAATCACAAACACTTCTGGAATTTGGCATTTGTGCTGCATTCATGGTCTGTCAGAATAATCGGAAACGTGCTAACATTTTGTATATGTATTTTTCCCTCCTGTGTAGGCGTTGGAGCCGGACACCAGTGACCTGGAGGTGGACCACCAGTTCTTTGAGGAGAAGGTCTGGCCCCACCTCGCCTCTCGTGTCCCGGCTTTAGAGAAGCTGAAGGTACGGTGTGGAAAGAATATATATCTTTGTTATGCTCGCCCACTGGACTTAATTACTTGCAAAATTGCTTTTGCAGATCAATTTCAGATGATGACCCTAATTCAGTTACATTTTAATAATACCTTAAAATGCATTATACAGTATATAGGTCATGTTAATAGTATTATCTATATGTATACGATTTTTTAGTACATATATTTATTATTATTATTATTACGATGACTTGTATTATTATAAATATTAGAAGCGTGGCAATGCCGTCTCAATCATAGGTTTTTCAGAATATGAATGTTTATATTTTTATGAAATACATTTTGTGTATTACTGCAGCCTTAATAATAATAATAATAATAATACAGGACACTTATATAGCGCTTTTCTAAAAACTCAAATACGCTTTGACAGAGAATAAAACGTACTTCTTCTCTTCTTGTTTCTTTGACGTTATGTTTGTATTATTAAGAAGAAGCATGATCAGAGTTGTGTACTAATGTCCCCTTCCTTCCTCCCCCCTTGTTTCCTCCCTCAGGTGACGAGTGCGTGGGCGGGTTTCTACGACTACAACACCTTCGATCAGAACGGCGTCATCGGCCTCCACCCGTCCATCAACAACATGTTCTTTGCGACGGGTTTCAGCGGTCACGGTCTGCAACATTCGCCCGCCGTGGGTCGAGCCGTGGCTGAACTCATCATGGAGGGAAACTTCACCTCCATCGACCTCAGCAACCTGGGCTTCAGACGCATCATCGAAAAGGAGCCCATGCTGGAGAGGAACATCGTGTAGAGGACCCAACACACCGCTGCTAGAACCACATTATATCTACACATGCTATGGACTGCTTTGATGTAGCCTCTTTTACAGTGTTTGTGACCCCTTCAGAAGTCAGCATTCACCCGTTCACACACATTCATTCAGAGGTCAAGTTTCAAGGCTTTATTGTCATGTCATTAGCTAAAGTGTAGATATGGCTCTTCCAACAGTGCAACATATAGGATATAAAACAGGACTGCCATGCAAGGTGCTACCTACTCATTCACACACACTCTGACACACACCGTTGGCCATCAGGAGCTATTTTGGGGTTACGTTTCTTACCCAAAGTTGCATGGACATGTTGGGTGTTTCTCAATGTCGAGGAAGGATGCTCCAGAGCCACTATTTCAAGGATGCTACGTCATCGAGTCCTGCCGAAGGACTGTTCCAATGTCCAGGATGCTTGGAATTCTACCGAGGCCGGCGTCCTTCGTTGCGGGAAATTTCGAGGCTGCACATGTGTATCCTCCGCGGTCTTAAAATCCCCACAATGCTTTGCGCACGGACCAATTTCCCAAAATCTTTAGCAGAAATTGCGCTCCATTTAAGGCGGGGCCTCGCATATGACGCACACCCGTTAGCCTGTTCCACCATTCTTCGTTTTTCGAGGCTAGGAAGGATTCTTGCCTCGCTTCTGAAGGAAGTGACTCGGAAGACATGTCCTACCAAGGAAGCGTCCTCGACATTGAGAAACACCCGTTGACTGAAGGGGCTGGGAATCGAACTACAGACCTTGTGATTGGTTGCTTCCACCTACATACCTATGTGTGTGTGTGTGTGTATATATATATATATATATATTAGGGCTTTCAATCTAATGGATTTGTTTATTTAAATAGTTACAAGCTTTGTGAATAACTAATTTAAATTGACAGCCCTAATATATATATATATATACAGCATATATATTTCTTTGCTCTTCAAAAGAATACCTTCAGTACTCAAACAATGCTACATTTGTCATTATTCCACGGTTTTTACGGTCTACTTTTGACTTGTAATTTATAAATATTGTCTTTGTCTAATGGTCTTACTTTTGAGAATTTAATTTTCACATTTGGATTGAAGTTTTTCTCATTATTTTGTATGTTAATGTTTTTTTATGAATGTCTTTATAATAGTGGTATTTAAATAAAAAAATTAGGTGTTACAATTAGGCATTTAGTTGCTTACAGGAGATTTAAACCATTTCCGGCTTTTACTGCTTTGCTTGGTACTACAGATAGAGAAATATACAACACTACAGGTATGTGATTTAGTGTTTGAATATTATGCACTAGAGGGGGCTATTTCTGCATTTCACATTTATTAAAACAAATAACCAGCAAGCATATTCAATTTCTAAAAACACATTGTCCTTAATATCATGAAAGGACTACAGTAGTTTGTTGCTGTGAAACCATTCTCTTGTAAAGGTTAGGAGAACATGGGGTGAATCAAATAATGTCCAAACTAATGCACAACATTTTTGGTTAAATTCTAAATATCTGCTATTTTTTTGGGGGGGTAAATAATGATAAAATTATTTTCAAAATAGTTGGTGATTATTTTTAGTCTTGTGAAATGTAAATCCCAGTTTGGTCAGCCGAAAACACAAAGATGTTTTCACTTTAATATCATAGTCAACATATTTAAGAGGCTTAAAACAGCATTTTCTGACAGTTTTGCAGATAAAATAGCGATTAAGCGACTATCAAAGTACATGGTGATTATTCCTCTGTCTTTAAAATGAGTAAACTGGTTTGCAGAAAGTTACAGTAAGCTGAACTAGTCTTTCAGAAAGCCACAGATTGCATCTCCATCCATCTCCTGCTTCATTTACATTCCCTTAATGGCATCTCTATCCACTCTGAGGGGCTTCTGATCAATGACCGTCCCCCTAGTCTCTTTTATTATCTACAGTTCCTGGAAAGATCCTCCACAAAGAGAATTCCTCCTGCGGCTATAGGAGAAAACGTCAAAGACATTTCTTCCCTGCAGCTTTTCATTTTGATGCAAATGTGAGGCAGGTTCGAATGCAGAAAGAAGGGGGGGATGGGGAAATGCAATTGAGGGATTTCTCTTTGTGGAGGCCCGAAGCAAACCCCAAATGTTCTCAGGGCTGAAAACAAACACAGCATCTGCAGCCTCCTTCAATGCATGCATCCAGAAAGGTGTCCCTCTTCTCATGTTAAATGTCTCTCTGTATTAATATTAAAGTTGTTGGTGATGGAGGCAGTCACTGTGAGCTCTCCAGTGTACACGGCGGCATGTGGCTGGGATTAGGACATTTCACTGTGGATTAAAATCTTTCTATGGCCACTCGCTGAAGAGAAAGGCGTCAGAGCGGAGTGAGCACTCTGGACCCATGGTCTCACTTAGCAGGTACGGTGAAAACTACACTTTCATACGCTTTATTTTAACTGGATTGATGGATGGTTACTTTTAGGTTTTGTGTGCAAAAGTTTGAGATGTTTTTATTTCTAACAACCCAGAAATGATACGCATGCTTTTACTTTAGGATAACTGCTTCTTAGAGGAATGTTACTTTATAATTTACATACTGTGTGATTGTTAACTTTCTCTTGTTTGCTCACTGTGGCTGAATATTTCAAATGGGCTTTGCAAATTATGTGAAACAAAGAACTGGAGAAATTCAATGCTTAGAAACTTGGGGAAAATAACGAGTACAAGCAGTTTTCTTAGTTTGCCAAGCACCAACATGATGAAAAGTATTAAGTATGTACTTCATAAGGAGCAATGTCATAATCATTATACTATTACCAACAACTGTTGAATACATATCTAGTTTTAAATGAGTTCATTCTTAGAGTTTAACAACTTTTAAATCCAAAAATATGTTTTTTTCAAATGTTAGTACCATTTTCTTTTCAAAACAAAGGCTTCTTGAGTGTAAATCTTTAGTGTGTTATGTAAGGATTAAAGTGGACCACATGGTTCAAGCTGCACGGTAAAACAGGTGAAACAATAACCTGCATTATCCTGTTGTAAATCCACACTAAACGGATGCATTTCCAATATAATGGAAAATAAGGGGAATGACTGACTGTTTATTCTCATGCTCTGACGGACACATACTCTTCATCAGAGCCATTGTTAAATTATAAAAGCTTATGATATTCTGAGTTATTGTCAACAAATCCCATGAAAAGACTTAAAACCAACTCAGCGTGAGTTCTGCCACATGTAATGATATCCTAAAATGCTTATGAACAACATTAGGTGTTAACAGCAGCAACATCAACATGCTTATTGTTAGATTTTAAAACATCTACAAGCACCAACATTGTTTGTGTACTGCTTGACAAGTTAACTCATAAAAACCTTGTGAGTTTTTAAGTAAGACTACTACTAACCCCTAACCCTAACTAAAATAAAAGTTATACAAATCTATATTTTACTAAATCTAACTTTAGTCAGAGCATAGCAGGTATGCTAATATAAATAGCACCTGGCGTCAAAACCAGAGATGGATGACACTTCAGTCTCTGTTTGAACAAACAGTGAAACCTTTGTGGTAGCAAATCATCTTATACCAAATTATGTCGGAAAAGATGAGTTTTGTTTTGAAACAACATTTTGAACTGAGCCATGATGGTCTACAAAAAGCTGACTTTTCAGAATGAAACAGATCACTTTTGAGAGTTGTAAACAGATAGTGAACATTACATGTCACTTGTTAGACGCTTTTATCCAAAGCGACTTACATACTCAGTACTGTGGGCAATCTCCACAGGAGAACTTTGGGGAGAAGTGTCTCAGGGACACAACGACATGCTGACTGCAGTGGGATTTGAACCTGTGACCCCCTGATCCCAACACCAACGCACAACCCACTGCACCACATGCCTCATTGAGGCAAATTTGAAGAATGACTTCCCACTTAAAGGTCACCTATTATGCAAAATCCACTTTTTCACGTTTTCTCTACATCAACATGTGCCCCCTCTTCTTCATGTCTCTTCTACATCAACATGTGTCCTCTCTTCTTCATGTCTCTTCTACATCAACATGTGTCCCCTCTTCTTCATGTCTCTTCTACATCAACATGTGTCCCCTCTTCTGCATGTCTCTTACATCAACATGTGTCCCCTCTTCTTCATGTCTCTTCTACATCATCATGTGTCCCCTCTTCTGCATGTCTCTTACATCAACATGTGTCCCCTCTTCTTCATGTCTCTTCTACATCAACATGTGTCCCCTCTTCTTCATGTCTCTTCTACATCAACATGTGTCCCCTCTTCTTCATGTCTCTTCTACATCAACATGTGTCCCCTCTTCTTCATGTCTCTTCTACATCAACATGTGTCCCCTCTGTGGAAAGAGACTCTGAAAGTTTTCAGGAAACAAAGATTCTCTCTCTTTTTGATCCATTTCTATAAAAACCTGTCTGACAAATGAGGCCCTGATCAGATTTTGGCCACTTTATGATGTCATAATTTTTTTTTGGCGTTGAGTAACCATTAAGCAATCAACAACCACAGGTAACCCCCCCCCCCCCCCCCCCCACCTTATTCACCTGAATCTCCTCCATGAGTTCATTTTTGTCAACCAATCTCTCTCAAGAGGGGCGTGGGGAGTGGCTCCTTATTTTCAATCTAAAGTAACAGACAGAGACATCAGCACTTTGGAAACGGGGCTGAAACATGAAGGGGATTATGGGTAATTGCTGCCCATTGAATCTGTTTGTGTTGTTTCAGCCAATCAGAGACAGGTTCTACTGTATATATCTGGGAACCTGTGATATATTGATGAGAAAACAGTTATACTAATAGTCTCTCTCTTCTATCTCATCTCTTCTTCCTAGATATATCTCATATCTATACCTTCTCTTATATTCTATCTCTCTCTCTCTCTCTCTCTCTCTCCTCTCTCTCTCTCTCTCTCTCTCTCTCTCTCTCTCTCTCTCTCTACAGGATGTTCCAGGTGCTCCAGGGTCACATCCAGCCGGCTCCACACAGAGGCCGTAAAACCCGCCTGGTCACCAAAGACGGGCGCTGCAACATCGAGTTCGGCAACATCGAGTACAGCAACCACTTTGCGTACCTACTGGACTTCTGGACGACGTTCGTGGAGATCCGCTGGCGCTTCGTTCTGCTTCTGTTCGTGGCCTCGTTCACCGGCAGCTGGTTCGTCTTCAGCCTGCTGTGGTACTGGATCGCAAAGAGCAACGGGGATCTGACGGGGCAGAACCGAACCGACGGACATGTGCAGTGCATCGATAACGTCAACGGTCTCACGACGGCGTTTCTCTACTCGTTGGAGACTCAAACCACCATTGGTTACGGGGGTAGAGCGTTAACCGGACACTGCGCCGGAACAATTGCTCTAATCATCATCCAATCTCTAATCGGCGTCTTCATCAATTGCTTCATGTGTGGCGTCATATTAGCCAAGATCTCGTTACCCAAAAGACGGGCGAAGAGCATCACATTCAGCGACACGGCCGTCATCTGCCTGAAGAAAGGAAGTCTGTGTCTTCTGCTACGAGTCGCAAATCTACGAAAGACGTTATTGATCGGCAGCCAGATTTACGGAAAGCTGCTCAGGACAACGACCGCTCCCGATGGAGACACCGTCATTCTGGATCAGGTGGATATTGACTTTATGGTGGACAGTGGAAAGGATAACTTGTTTTTTGTTTGCCCTTTGACCCTGTACCATGTGATTAACACTTCCAGTCCGTTCTACGAGCTTTCAGCGGACTCTCTCCCCAACCAGGACTTTGAGTTGGTGGTCTTTTTGGACGGGACAGCAGAGTCTACTAGTTCTTCCTGCCAGGTCCGAACCTCCTACATCCCTCAGGAGATCCAGTGGGGGTTCAGCTTTCTGCCCATCATCTCCCGCACCAAGACGGGAAAGTACCGGGTGGACTTCTCAAACTTTTCCAAAAGCGTGCGGGTCACAACGCCGCACTGCGTCCACTGCTTTGAGACGGACGCAGACCAGAAAAACCACAACAGTCACAATCAGGAGAATCAGGACAAACAGCAGAAGTTGGGCATCGACAACCTCGGGTTTCAGGTGATCGACATTCACGACTCTATGGACATCACTAAAATGTGAGGGGAGAAGGGTGAATGTGTCAAAATCAGCCGGAAAATAAACCCTATTTGGAGCAAAAGCCAGGTTTTCAACAACAGTTCTCGGACTTTGAGTCCTACAAGCTACTTTTCAGGAAACTAAAAGTTTCATTTGTTCCCTTGTTGTTCCCATCGTGGTGTAAAGACCCACTAAGATTAGGCAAATTAGTACACAGACTAATTAAAAAGCAACAGCTGTTTTAAACCTAATATCTTGCTTCTGACTACTACGACTGGGAATGTCTCAAGAGCCGCTTTCACACCAAGTGCTTTGACTTTGCTGTACTTACGCCTTCCGAGTAAATCGCCAGACCGCCGACACCTCCTCATCTCCACCGCTCCCATGTTTTTTTTTGTGTTGCCATAAGTTATTCTCTCTCCGTTGGTGCACGGGGCTAATGCTAATGCTAATGCCAGCAAATACAATGGCGGCTTCACAAAACTTTTCAGAGTTTTACGGGGCGTGGTTGGCAATTCGCCCAGCCAGTCGAAATTGGTACTTTTTTCTCCCCAGGAAAGTACCACCTCTCTAGCAGGGACTGAAAATGGGAGTAAAAGTTCTCGGAACTAAGTTCTCTTTTTGATGTGAACGCAAAATTCCAGGCACTAACGGAATTAAACGGGAAAAATACGGGTAAAAGTACTCCGGTGTGAACGCGCCTAATCTTGGAAGCAAATGTTCGTTGTGGCCAAACGGTGGAATTATAATTTCCTTGTCAGTCACAATACGGACCTAACATTGGGAAAGAGACTTCTGCAAATCAGTGTATAACCTTCGTTTTTGGTATATCAAGTTCCCAACACATGAATAGCCCTTATCCTTAGGCCCTAAAAGTTGTAACAAATGCGCTATAGCCGAAACCGGAGTTCTTTTACCTTTTTCTAATCATGTAAATGTGCCTAAACGGAGCTGCAGATTGCCGGAATATCCAGGGGATTTTATACTCGAGAGTGGAGTCCTTTTTGCATCATGTACTAGCAAATCTACATCCATGTATCTCTTATTCCTTGTCTAAGGCTGTTTGTCATCTCCAAAACTATTTTAACAATCCAACCAGATATTGGCAATCTTAATGGTTGAATTTTCTTGCCTGAAAACAGATTAAATGTAATAAAGTGACATACCTTTTAACCTGCCTTTTAATGTTTAACATGACTAGTAGTGCCTCCCTGATATAGAATTTAAAAAAATGGTGGTTAATGCCATCTTGTGAAACGTGACAAATCAGAAATGTGTCCACCCCCCAAGTTCTTGAATTTAATGAAAGTTCAAAAACTACCTACCCCCGACCAGGGACTTTTTTGGGATTGAAAATAATCAACAACCCATACGACCATACTATAAGGAATGCCAGAAAAAAGATTGAGTAAGTACCAATATATAGTAAATGCAGTATGACAAACATACCAGTCCTATTGCACCTGGTCACATTTTGCAGCATACTTTTCTGGCTATGCTTACCCACAATCCTTTGCACAGCAGATATTTAAGGAATAGGGTCTAAATTCAATGTGGCATGTTAGGACAAACTATTCCCAACTTCATGCACACTACAAAAAGTGCATACATTTCCCTTTTAATCAGACTTTCTTGACGAGTAGTGAAAATACAATTGAGTTAATCGCCCATTTTTTTTTTTGCCTCGACTAGCAGAAATATTCAAAGTGTGGATACAAAATTAAAATAAATCAGACCTGAGCGGGAGTTAAGCTCTTTGCTCAGCAGCTCATTACAATCAAAGCACCTTTGGGACTTGTGACTTTGTGTAGGTAATGTGTGACAGAGGGGGGGGGGTTGAAGTGTTGACGAAATGAAAGGGGTAAAATAGTGGATGGCACAGTGGGTATTTCTCGAGGAGATTAGGGTCTGATCCTGCTATAATGAAAAATGTGTGCCATAAAATGTGTGGAAGGAAATAAAAAGTAGGACCGGCCTTCAGAGTGTTCCTCGTTACTCCGACTAAAACACTAACGTGCAGTTTCTGTCACGGTGACATCGCGTATGCCTTGATGATTAGGAAGCTGTGGACATACTGTAGCTGCGAAATTAGAGGATTTTAATCGTCCATTTTGTAGATTATTGTAGACACTTCTTCTCAGGGAAAATAACATGCTTAGTGCGAATAAAACACTTTTTTCACAATTTATTGACTTTGTGTTGTCTTTTTTGTATGTCTTTTTGATTGTTTCTACATTTGAAATTGAACTATATATAAGTACACATTTGAGTATGGTTGGTCAATTTAATGCTACCTTATAATTCTGCTTAATTTCATGTCAAAATACCTTATTTCTACGGTCTTTGGAAATGTATATTTGCAAGTTACTTTACTAATTGAGGTTAGAGGAATATTTTCTGGTTCCTTTTAGTGTGTTGAATGTCATGAGAGATTGTGATATCTGACCCTTTATAAACCAATTATTTAATAAATACATAGAGAAAGTAAAATATTGTTGGTTGCTGCCCAAATGTGAAATGAGCCTTGTTTAACAATATTTAAATTTCATTAGTTTTAATAACATTAATTGATAACAGTGATTATTCACATTATTGTATTTCTATTTTAAAGGTCACCTATCATGCTATTTTTAGGCAATAGCATAGGTCTCAGATATATAATAATATATATAAAACATTTCTATGAAGTGTTTTGCTCAAAATACCAAACAGATCATTCTAGCCATGCCTCATATCCGTCTGTTTCACTTCCTGTTTCAAAAGTGCTGCTTTGGGGATAAAGCTTTAAAAAAAAAAAGAAGAAAAAAAAGGAGGGGTCTGAGCTCATGCGGGACCCGGCAGCTACTGTCTAAACTAAATGCTGCCGTGATGAAACGCCATATCATGGATTATCAAGGATTCTCTCTGAAACAGTTTGGAGCTCAAAGGCTTTCTCTCTTGCCGGTTATACCACAAGGTGAGTTCCTTTTATCTTCCTGCTTCTTCACGCACATGCTCTCCAGTACAGGTTAGCTCTGAGTGTTAGCGATGCTAATGTAAACACCGACCATATTACGTCCAAAACAGTCGGGCATTATTTCTGACAGCAACGTTTCTGATAGCAACGTTTCTGATTGGCCCGTGGGTCCACATTTCAGATATTACGTCATATCGGACGCAAATCTGGATCAGCTCCGTTGCAGCCCCGTTTTTAGAGATTTGGGTACGGAGGAAAAGAGAGAGGGTTTTATTTTCTGACGCTGCGTGAGTTCCCCTGACACACCGGGGACACATGTTTATGTATAAAATACATCAAAAAATGCATTTTATATGCTATATATGCCATTAATAACTGTGAAATATATACCTGGCTGCTAAATCCTAAGAACTGTTACAGGATTTGTATTTTTTTTTAAAGTTTTTTAAGTTTTTTTAAAATTTATTATATCATAACTTAGTACTTTTTTAAACATATGTACCATTAAGCTGTCTGTGGCTCTTTCCTGCTGTAACGATGCAAATGTCCCCTCTGTGGGACTAATAAAGGTATTCTGATTCAGATTTTGCATGATAGGTCCCCTTTAAGGTATTTGAAAAATGACATATTTTATTAATTTAATTTCTGATTATTTCCTAAATTATTCTACTTTGTTTATATTTATATTTATTTTTTATTTATATCTTAACTTATTTATTTCTTCATTTAATTAAGTATTTCTTGGAGCCTTAATGTTGGCAGCTTTTGGTTAATCTTAACTCAAATTAACCTGCACTTTTGTTTGGAAATTGCAGCTTTTACATATCCATTTAATTTTCCATAGTTTTATAAATTCAGTGTATTATTTATAATAATAACGGCACCTTCAGTCCTCCATAGGCTTTGCATTATACCCTTGTATAATAAAAAAACCCCTGCTTTTGTCACATCTATTTATAAAAGTAATGATAATCCCTTTCTCTCCAGTATTATATAACATATGTCATAAAACTAAAAGTAATCCTCTAGTTGAAACTGTGACAGCCGTCCTGCCCACTAGAGAGCATCAGAGAGCTGCAGCATTGAAAACATTATCAATTAATGCTGAAAATAAAACTTTTCTAGGTGTTCAAACTGTCCTAGATCTGCCAGCAGACTCTCTTTCATTTCCTCGGTGATGTTTGATAAAAATAAGACTTTGATGCTCACTCTTTTCCCCTGAAGATCCAGTCACACAGAGCTTCCTGTTGGACTCTCTTATGGCAGAAAGAAAGTCTCTGCAGGTGATCTCACACTGAAGCCCACTGATTCTCTGTCAGAAATAGCTTTTCATCCCACTCGGATTTAGAGGGGAGAGTTAACTGGGCTTCATCTGCATAATAACAATGAGAAAGAGAAACTGTTGAGAGGGATTTGGCACAGAGAGAGGGAAAAGCTGAGAGGAAGAAGAGAGAGACTTTTAATCTGATAACTGTCACATTGACTCCCTGTCAAGAGATGTATTAGGGCAAATATATAGTGATATACACAGAGAAGGATGAAGCACATACACACATGAGTTGATAATGTGACTTTATTTGAGGTCATTTGATTGTCTTTGAAATTGTTCGGTCATTTGTGTGGTCTTTGTGTCTCTGGTCACTTTGAGTGTCTTTTTGCCTTTTTTGTGGGACATTTTGTGCCATTTCGTGTCTTTTTGTAATTGTGTCGAGTGCCTTTCTGCTCATGTGCCTCTTAGTGGTTGTTTTGTATTTCTCTGTAGTCATTGTGTGTCTCTCCTGGGTAATTTTGCGTCTTTTTCCAGTCATTAAATGTCTATTTGTAGTCATTTTGTGTCTCTTTGCAGTCATGTTGTGGTCATTTCATGTCTTTTTGTAAATTGTTGTAATTTTAACGTCATTTTCTAGTTGTTTTGCGTCTTTTTCAGGTGATTTTGTGTCTTTTTGTAATAATTTCCTTTGTCTCTTTGTGGTTCAAAACATGACGAACAGGACTCACTCAGATCAGGATGGTAAATGGTTTTTCTTGGGAAGCCAGACGGAAATCATTTCACATGTAAACACAGTTTAAGGTCACTTTGAGTATCAGCAGCAGGACACACACACACACGCACGCACGCACGCACGCACGCACGCACGCACGCACGCACGCACGCACACACACACACACACACAATTTCCCAGCAGCCTTCATTAAAACATTCAAGAATACTTTTATTATTCATTTTGTATTAAATATGTTTGTACAGTAATACAAACACCTAACAGCCAATTCATGCTCATTAAAACATATTTAAACGCTTAATATCTAGTGATTTGAATGTCTCTTATTGCTGAAACACATATATTCTGCCAGAGATTGCTTTCAAATTTAAATATAAGTATTAGAAATAGAAACCAGAACCATATCGTCTAATATTTACGCCCCGGGGGAGAAAAAGGATATAAATATAGAAACTTTCCCTCATTAGGATTATTCAAGGGTCTGCTGGCTGTGAGCTAACACCGCTAACCACTGAGCTAATGTTCTGCCTTTTAATTAACTTTTCACTGATTAATTAATTAGTGGAGATAATGGAGCCACCTCTCATTCAGACCTATTTCAGGTGTGTAATTAAAGCCACTGTGCGCTGATTCTTCAAACACTCACTCCACTCTCACTTCCCAGAAACACCTTTTTAATTCTACTTATGTACATTTCTATTAACCGTCTACTGAAAACTACCAGATTTAATTGCATATTATGATACTTACTGTTCTCCCTACATTTTAGGGGCAAATATTGGACTTTTTATTCAACAAAAAAGTATTTTTTCAAATGTCCATTCCTTTTCTGTAGAATTAAAACAATGAATCTATAAATCTTTTGATTTTTAACATATTTCATTACCGAAAAACACAATACTATATAACTGAAATATTCTTTTTAATTATGGGTTCAGACAATTGGGGCGAAAAAAAACACTAGTGGAAGAATGATTAAGATTATAAGTAGGAGTACTACACTGTAAAAGTATGTATCAGCAAACAATACTTAAACTATGCACAGACAGTAAAAGTGTTTCTTGTGTAGTTAAATATCAGTTTTTTACTATTACATATCCTCTTTAGGTTGCATTCAAATGCCGTACATACTCAAAGGGGCATAATATTACTTTTGAAGCAGCTAAAATGTGTACTTAATGACAGTACTTGAGTAAAAGTACCACGTTATATAGCATCTGTATGGGTAGAATCAACAACCACATGACTACAGCAGTAATACATGATGTTTCCAGTGAGATGTTGAACACACACACACACACACACACACACACACACACACACACACACACACACACACACACACACATATACCATGTATACATCACTTCAGAGGACATTACATTGACTTACATACATTTTCCTGGAGACTTATCCTAACCTTAACCATAACCAACACATGCCTAACCCTTACCCTTAACCTTACCCTTACCCTTACCCTAATCCTAACCCTAACCAAGTCTTCACCCTAAAATTAATGATTCCCCTCATGGGGACCTCCATTATGTCCCCATAAGGGAAGCCAGTCCCCACACGTGACTGTGTACACAGATGTAGGTCCCCACAAGTATAGTAATGCTAGACCACACACACACACACACACACACACACACACACACACACACACACACACACACACACACACACACACACACACAGACACACACACAGACAGCGTTTCAGTGAATGAAATGTTCAGACAGAGGACCAGCTGCTGCGCTGCCAGACTAAATATTCACTTTGTCAAATCCATACACACACAGGCCGGACTAATGCACTCCATATCAATATTTTACCATGATTTTGGCTCAGCTGCTTCATACAGACGGTAAACATGTCCCACAAGAGATGTATGTAATCTGCTTTTACAAATGACGCTATTAAATTATCAATCAACTTTAGTTTTGCGCCAAAACAACGAAAATCAGTTAAAATGCATCTGTTTGACGTATTTTCTTTGTTTTTTTCTCACTTTACAAGATTTTCTGTCCCAGCTGGAGCATTTTAACACTCAATGACCTTCCATTCGCACACCTGCTATCCACAGATAAGTGCTTTTATTAATTCCCCTTATTAAACATGTATAGCCTCCGTAGATCTGAGCTAATGCCCTATCCTTTAGAGTCTCCTGCTTTTCATTTTGCGTCGTTAAAAAGGAACTCACAGTTTCATTTTGAACAAAGCCGATGGATTCGAGGTTACAATTTATTCATTTGTTCAACACAAGCAGTTATTTACGGCCTTAATTTAATTAAATTGTTCCCATGCTTTAGTTCAATTCATAGGTACGGGATAGTTGTTTGGACAAAGCAAGTTACATCTCAAACTCTGCATGTTTTTGAAGATATATTCCATACAATCATAACATCCTTTTTGAACTACTTGACTAACATAATCCCATGCAAAGGAAACGTCAAAGAGGAAATATTCTGATCATGTTCTAGCCAAAATGAGCATGAGTGTTACACAGTGATGTCATCATGTTGGGGTATTTTAATGTTTTATATTTAATTAATTAGACATTCCTAAAAAATACATTACTTAAAATTGTGCTTATTTTAGAAGAATGTTCATATTTTCCAGTTCTTGTTTGAGTTAAATGTTCAAGTAGTTTCTTTGGGTTGAGACAAGCTTTTAAAAAATCGTCTAAATTTAGGAAACATGTATTTATAGCTGAGACCTTAATCTTTTATTTGGTGCTGGTTAGAATAATCTTACATACAATATTCCATAAATACAGCAGAGAAGTAAAAAGTAAGTCTCCCTTCAGCCTTCGCTCCGTGTGTATTTCACATTTCCATCTTTAAAAGTAAGCTCCTTTGTGGCCTTTTGCTTTCAAGGAGGCTGGAAAATATAAAACAGTCTTCAGATCATTTAGCAGGGATTATTTCTGGCTCTGAGAGGAACGTCACAGCTCGTTGTGGTCCTTCGTAACTTCACAGACTTTCCTCTCTGGAGATTTTTAACACACTAAAAAACTAGACTAGAGTGATTGTGTTTTTAAAATAACGGCCCTCCAGGGTTTAGAGAAAAAACAAACTGTAGACAGCAAGACGTGTTAATGTCTTCTGTTCCTACACATCCTGATTCATGTCCCAAAGACAAAGAAACATCTCACCGCTGCTAGTGTTTGTGTGTTATTGCCTTCTTTAAAGAGTCCTCTCCTGCTGATGTTCAGGTGTATATCAGTATGTAGTGTCTCTACTTTAAAGAGTCCTCTCCTGCTGATGTTCAGGTGTATATCAGTATGTAGTGTCTCTACTTTAAAGAGTCCTATCCTACTGATGTTCAGGTGTATATCAGTATGTAGTGTCTCTACTTTAAAGAGTCCTCTCCTGCTGATGTTCAGGTGTATATCAGTATGTAGTGTCTCTACTTTAAAGAGTCCTCTCCTGCTGATGTTCAGGTGTATATCAGTATGTAGTGTCTCTACTTTAAAGAGTCCTGTCCTGCTAATGTTCAGGTGTATATCAGTATGTAGTGTCTCTACTTTAAAGAGTCCTCTCCTGCTGATGTTCAGGTGTATATCAGTATGTAGTGTCTCTACTTTAAAGAGTCCTCTCCTGCTGATGTTCAGGTGTATATCAGTATGTAGTGTCTCTACTTTAAAGAGTCCTCTCCTGCTGATGTTCAGGTGTATATCAGTATGTAGTGTCTCTACTTTAAAGAGTCCTATCCTACTGATGTTCAGGTGTATATCAGTATGTAGTGTCTCTACTTTAAAGAGTCCTCTCCTGCTGATGTTCAGGTGTATATCAGTATGTAGTGTCTCTACTTTAAAGAGTCCTCTCCTGCTGATGTTCAGGTGTATATCAGTATGTAGTGTCTCTACTTTAAAGAGTCCTGTCCTGCTAATGTTCAGGTGTATATCAGTATGTAGTGTCTCTACTTTAAAGAGTCCTTTCCTGCTGATGTTCAGGTGTATATCAGTATGTAGTGTCTCTACTTTAAAGAGTCCTCTCCTGCTAATGTTCAGGTGTATATCAGTATGTAGTGTCTCTACTTTAAAGAGTCCTCTCCTGCTGATGTTCAGGTGTATATCAGTATGTAGTGTCTCTACTTTAAAGAGTCCTCTCCTGCTGATGTTCAGGTGTATATCAGTATGTAGTGTCTCTACTTTAAAGAGTCCTCTCCTGCTGATGTTCAGGTGTATATCAGTATGTAGTGTCTCTACTTTAAAGAGTCCTCTCCTGCTGATGTTCAGGTGTATATCAGTATGTAGTGTCTCTACTTTAAAGAGTCCTATCCTACTGATGTTCAGGTGTATATCAGTATGTAGTGTCTCTACTTTAAAGAGTCCTCTCCTGCTGATGTTCAGGTGTATATCAGTATGTAGTGTCTCTACTTTAAAGAGTCCTCTCCTGCTGATGTTCAGGTGTATATCAGTATGTAGTGTCTCTACTTTAAAGAGTCCTGTCCTGCTAATGTTCAGGTGTATATCAGTATGTAGTGTCTCTACTTTAAAGAGTCCTCTCCTGCTGATGTTCAGGTGTATATCAGTATGTAGTGTCTCTACTTTAAAGAGTCCTCTCCTGCTGATGTTCAGGTGTATATCAGTATGTAGTGTCTCTACTTTAAAGAGTCCTCTCCTGCTGATGTTCAGGTGTATATCAGTATGTAGTGTCTCTACTTTAAAGAGTCCTCTCCTGCTGATGTTCAGGTGTATATCAGTATGTAGTGTCTCTACTTTAAAGAGTCCTGTCCTGCTAATGTTCAGGTGTATATCAGTATGTAGTGTCTCTACTTTAAAGAGTCCTCTCCTGCTAATGTTCAGGTGTATATCAGTATGTAGTGTCTCTACTTTAAAGAGTCCTCTCCTGCTGATGTTCAGGTGTATATCAGTATGTAGTGTCTCTACTTTAAAGAGTCCTCTCCTGCTGATGTTCAGGTGTATATCAGTATGTAGTGTCTCTACTTTAAAGAGTCCTCTCCTGCTGATGTTCAGGTGTATATCAGTATGTAGTGTCTCTACTTTAAAGAGTTCTCTCCTGCTGATGTTCAGGTGTATATCAGTATGTAGTGTCTCTACTTTAAAGAGTCCTCTCCTGCTGATGTTCAGCTGTATATCAGTATGTAGTGTCTCTACTTTAAAGAGTCCTCTCCTGCTGATGTTCAGGTGTATATTAGTATGTAGTGTCTCTACTTTAAAGAGTCCTCTCCTGCTGATGTGCAGGTGTATATCAGTATGTAGTGTCTCTACTTTAAAGAGTCCTCTCCTGCTGATGTTCAGGTGTATATCAGTATGTAGTGTCTACTTTAAAGAGTCCTCTCCTGCTGATGTTCAGGTGTATATCAGTATGTAGTGTCTCTACTTTAAAGAGTCCTCTCCTGCTGATGTTCAGGTGTATATCAGTATGTAGTGTCTCTACTTTAAAGAGTCCTCTCCTGCTGATGTTCAGGTGTATATCAGTATGTAGTGTCTCTACTTTAAAGAGTCCTCTCCTGCTGATGTTCAGGTGTATATCAGTATGTAGTGTCTCTACTTTAAAGAGTCCTCTCCTGCTGATGTTCAGGTGTATATCAGTATGTAGTGTCTACTTTAAAGAGTCCTCTCCTGCTGATGTTCAGGTGTATATCAGTATGTAGTGTCTCTACTTTAAAGAGTCCTCTCCTGCTGATGTTCAAGTGTATATCAGTATGTAGTGTCTCTACTTTAAAGAGTCCTCTCCTGCTGATGTTCAGGTGTATATCAGTATGTAGTGTCTCTACTTTAAAGAGTCCTCTCCTGCTGATGTTCAGGTGTATATCAGTATGTAGTGTCTCTACTTTAAAGAGTCCTCTCCTGCTGATGTTCAGGTGTATATCAGTATGTAGTGTCTACTTTAAAGAGTCCTCTCCTGCTGATGTTCAGGTGTATATCATGTTAGAGATTAAAAGGGATATCTGATCCGCTTTTCAAATCTCCGCGCGTTCCTATGAAGCTGGTTATAATACAGGAAGAAATCCAGTGCCACCAAGTAAACAATATCTACTTTAATGGTAATATGACAAAATAATACAATCAATACAGTACAAATTCAATACAGTTAATCTTTGGGATCCCGAATTTACCTGCACGTGAGCCAGCCAGAGGAAAGAGGCTGAACACCGCCTGTGTTTCTGTGTTTCTACTCTGTGTCAATGGGAGGAGTTATCAGATCCTCCCATTCGGACATCATTGATTGGCCGCCCCAAATATCACAGACCCCTTAGACCTTAGGCTTCCCCAATCACTGTAGCATGTCTAAACTGAAGGCAACTCAAGACATGCTTTCACCTTCCCCCATCTTCCTTTGTCCTCAAAAACATATGTCCAAACAGGCCCCACATCCAGCTCACAGTTCCACCCAAATTATTCCCTTTTTAAGCTTATCCATAGTTTGCTAACATGAATAAATACAAATATAACTTTACAAATCCCCCTTTTGGTCTCATTTTAAGAGATCAACTATTTCAAGACACTCACATTATAACCTGGGATTCAGACTATTTAAACATTCAGGAATGGCTCCACATATCAACTTCATATGACCGTGTAGAAATACCAAAATATATCCTCAGTGTTTAGACAAATCGTCCATCAATAGCACAAAAATAAACATACCAAAAAATATATAGAAGAAAATAGTAAAATATATCATTTATCATTTAGTCCTCCTTAATCATCAAATTACAAACTTTAAAAATAGCTTGCATCTCAAAGATTTGCTTCAAGACAATTATAGTAAAAACACATTTAACATTTAGGATTATTAGCAATCCACCTGAGGTATAAAATCTGGATTGTAAAGGTCCAGTTGAAATTCACAGTTCAAAGTATAGCATTCACAGTGGTGATTCGATTAATCCGTAATCTGCAAAATTGCAGTGTCCTCAAGCTTTAACATTACTTCACTACGCTTTAGTCAAAAGTAAGGCACTTATCTATACATTCATTTTAGTCAAATACATTGTTTAAAAATCTGAAAAAGAAGAATCAGACATTTATTGCGTAGTGTAAAAACCCGAAAATGTAAAATCTATATACATCTTCTACATTCTGAGTGTCAATTTTAATCAACCTGTCATTCATTTTGTGGGGGTCCCCATGGAGCAGAAGCCGTGATTGTGCCCCACGGATCTGAAAGCTGGGCGTCGTACATCAACACGGAGTCATCCACTGTGGAATATCCCACTAGTCTCTGTGGAGCCTGGAGGGCGGTTTTGGTCATCTTTCGTATGGCTAGTTTAACTACAGTGACCAAGCAGATTATCACAATTAGCACAACTAAGATAAACATTGAAACGGTCACTGCAAATTTAACCAACCCCGCACCCCACGATCCAAAAGTTCCAGTTAAATCCCCAAGGGTAAACCCATGAGTTTCATGCAACTCTTTTATCCCCCTGGCGGTATCATGAGCCATATCCATGACCTCAGGTGTAGCATCAGAGATGAAAGAACAACACTCAGATCCAATCACCTTGCATGTGCCCCCCTGGGCGGCTAATAAAAGATCCAGTGCCATACGGTTTTGTAATGCTACAGTCCTAACCTCCTGTAATTCCTTATGTTCGGCTAACATGGCTGTGTTAGATGCATTTAAGTGATTTTCCACTACTTTGGACAACGCCACAATTTCCTGCTGAGAAACATAAATACCGTACCATGGTAAAAATAGACTAGCCATCCGCTGTCCTTCTGTAATCGACCTGCTGTTTCTATGTAGAGAGGGAAGTATAGCTGCAATCTCATCAGTCTTCACTTTACGGATTAAAGGGATTAGATAGGCCAGGTAACAGGTGCCATAGAAAATGTCATAAGGCATACAGCCATAGGCTCGGTCCCCACAAACTAAGTAAACCCTCTGCGGGAGGGGCGTTCTGGCTAACTGCACCTTTATTACGGTATTACAGTCGCTGTGGCCCACATCTGGAGAGGTAAGAGATCCTCTTTCATTCTGGAAACAGATGGACACATTCTTCCACTCATGTACTACAACTGGGGGAACATAGACAGAACAGTCACGGGTAGGGGACTTACCTAAGGGTAATGGCTGCGAACAGTCATGTATTTTAACCTCAACTGAGTCCACTGTTCTGGAGCCGAACCAGGGCACTACTGTTACCAAAGCCTCAACTAATAAAGATGGAGTGTGTGGTTGCAGTGTACATATTGGACTGGTAAAGTTAACCGAGCAATTAGTCTGGGCTAGAGCTAATTGGAATCTGTATTCAAAAGCTAGGTTAATATATTTCTTCACATATATTAGTCTTAGGACCGTCAACTGTTTGAACCCCTCTGGCAGGTAATCCTTATTTACTGTCTCCACAATGAGCGAGATTAAACCCTTGTATTGTAGAGGTTTCTCAGAGTTTATTGGATACGAAGGAGTGTAACAATCCTCGGCCTCATCTCCAATGCGGGATGCTATGTCATTCCAGCTAACTAAACCGTAGTCCGCTTTCGTGAAAGGAATTGGGCTAAACATGGGAGAATGTACGGATTCTGGCATGTTTTGGCACAGCCAACAGTTGCTAACATTGCGTTCATGTGCATAGTCTAACATTAAACTCATTGCCGAATTGGTTTTAGTTAGTTTAGGTGGAGCGATTAAGGCCTTTTTTGAAGAATCTACATCCTCTCCTGTTTGTTTAAGTGGAGTGGATATTAGGGCTTTTTCCGGAGAACCTGTTTCATGATATGGTTCAATATATGTTCTAATAGAGGCGTGTCCGGCGACCCCTAAATTAGAAAAATCTGTTTCATGCTCTGGTTCAATAAATGCACATCCAGTGACCCCCGAATTGGGAGCTTTGTAATCTGGCTTCCGTGCCGTGCACTGGGACTCATATTTTAACTGTTCTGCCGTGCTACACCACAGTTCTGGGGGCATATTTGCAATGGTGTTGAGTGTTATTCTTACCATCCCTGACGAGACCCGGAACTCCTGATACTGCGTCCCTGGATACGCTTCCCACACCGTGTAGTCGCCACCCTTGCTTAAAAACACAGGGTAGGTAATAACACAGTTTGGTGAGTTACATATTGCAGTTGGGCAGTCAAAAGAAATCTTCTGTGGTTCGTGAGCAGAGAGAGGGGCATTCCTCCTTCTTCTCTCTCTGTGTCTCTCTCTCATTGTACTGAATGTTAGTGTGGTGATTGGAAACAACCTGTCTTTGTCGCTAGGCACTGATTGGCCCGTTGGTGTGATTTTGCCCTCAGAGTCTGGGCCACCTGTCGTTGGAATGGTCACAGCTTCATCAAGCGGGGCTACCTTGGACAGGTACAGCAGGCCCAGCACGAGGAGGATGATGACAGCTTTCACACGCCAGCCTCCGGTGGAGGAGACAGACGCCATCTGGAAGCGTTGATCCACCCCGCTCTGCCTCGTTCCCTCAGGACCGTTCCTCGCCGTCCTCTTCAGCCCGCCCGCTTATGGCGACTTCTGGGTCGGTGATAGGAGTGTTGTCCTCTGGTTCCTCCTCCTCTGCGCGGACTACGTCCGTGATGATGTCGTCTAGGGTCCTTCCCGGAGGTTTCCCCACTGCGCACTGATTCCAGTGGTACCAGATGTCTCCTTTCCCTTCCAAGCGGACAGCGTGAGATGTCCTCTGCATCACCCGATGGGGTCCAGAGAACCTGGGTCTCAGCCACTTGGGTCTGATCGCTTTCAGCCAGACGAACTCCGCAGTGTTCGCTTCGTGTTTCTCGGGTCCCCCTTTTGCCTCTGCAACCTGGGTGGAAAAATCTGCCACTAATCCCTTAAGTTGCTGGAAGTATGGTTTCGAACTCAGAACCTCTACTTCCTTTCCTACACTTAGGGCTCCTGGACCTGGGAACTGGTGACCATAAGTGAGCTCAAATGGAGAGAAACCTGTCCCTTTGTTAATGGAGCTCCTGATTGACAGAAGAGCCAGAGGCAATGCATCTACCCATTTCATGCCCGTCTCTTCACATGCTTTGCTGAGTTTTTGTTTTAAGTTCTGGTTCATCCTTTCCACTTTTCCCTGAGACTGTGGATGATAAACTGCTCCAAAACTGTGTCTTAGTCCTAGGGACTCTTCTACTGTGCGTAGGTCATGGTTCTTGAAATGGCTGCCATTGTCTGACCTCACTTTCCTAGGAAATCCATGTAATGGAATGTAATGCGTGACTAGGAATTTGATCACTGAGTCTGCATCTTCTCTTCTGCAAGGGATAGCTTCTGGCCAACCTGTGTATCCATCTACTACTACTAACAAATATCTGAATCCTCTTACTTTGTCAATCATGTCAGTGTAGTCAATGATGATTTCTTCTCCTGCCATCTTAGGTAAAGGAAACTTTCCCTGGTGTGGTTTCACAGTGGCTCTGATGTTATGGGTTAAGCAAATTACACACTCTTCTAGGTGATTTGCTATCATGTCTGGTAGGTATGGGTGCCACCAGTGGGTCAGGTGCCTGTTCATCTGAGTTTTACCACAATGCGTTGGGCCGTGTGCTTCTTTAAGCATGGATCTTATCCACTCTGGGGGTATAACCGGTCTCCCATCTGGGGAGTACCATATCCCCTCTTTGTTGGTAGCTCCCCGGTTTGACCATAGTTTTTTGTCTTGAGGAGACCCCGCTTCTTGAGCTTCTTTAAGCGTCTCATCTGTCATTGCGGGCAGCAAGTCAGCAGATTTTAAGACAAGCATTTGATACCATGGTGTATATCCTGCCTTCTCTTTAGCTGCTTTGTCTGCTGCATTGTTACCCCAAGCCAAGTAGTTGTTTTCTGCGTTGTGACCTTTACACTTAAGTAAAGCTAACTTGTTGGGCAACATTACTGCTTCTGCAAGCCTTTTGATCTCTTTCTCATGTTTGATGGGGGTATTTGTGGACGTTACAAATCCTGCTCTCAACCATTGTCGCATTTCCACGTGAATTACGCCGTGGACATATGCTGAATCAGTGTAGATGTTTACATCCTTTCCTTTTGATAGCTCTAATGCTGCGATGACTCCCATTACTTCTGCCAACTGTGCTGATACTTTCCCTGTTACTTCCCCAGCTGATACTTCCTCAAAGTTTCCCTCAGGTTTTTGTTTTACCACGGCATAGGCTGCTTGGAGGCCGTTTTGGGGATGTCTAAAACAACAGCCGTCTGTGAACAGGTTTTCTGCCTGTGGGATGGGCTCGTCTCTGAGATCTATTCTTAGCTTCACATCTTGAATGATTCTTTCCTCACACCTATGGGGCTCTCCGCTACCTATGGTGTCTGCGCTGTTAACTCCTTCGTGTGTGTATGTGATGTGTGCCTTTGTCAGAGTTTTCTCCAGCCTTGTTTGTCTCGTTGAAGTCATTGTGAATGCACTTGAGTTCACAAAAGAGACAATGCTGTGTGTTGTCAGTACTGTCAAAGGATGGCCCATCACAATGTGTGAAATCTTGTTTAAGATACGTGCTGTACCTGCCGCGTGTCTCATGCAGGGAGGTTCTCTGTTTTCCACTCTGTCCAGTGTAACACTGACATACATCAATATTGTCCTACAACCCCCCTTTTTCTGAAAAAGAATCCCATTTACTGTGTCTTCATTTTCAGAAACATCAAGAAAGAATGGTAATGCATAGGATGCCGCGGCGAGAGCCGTGACTTGAGACATGGATTGTTTGAGAGAAATGAACGCAGCTTCTGCCGCTTGTGTCCAGTCTAGTGTGGCAGTGAGATTGCGCATGCCTTTCTCGTTGATGAGTTTTCTGAGTTCAGCTGTTCTTGGGTTATACTCTGGGATGTAGTGTCTGCTGTAGCCTGTGAGGCCCAAAAAAGACAACATGTCTTTGACTGTCTTGGGTTTCGGGTGGTTCAAAATGTGTTCCTGATGCGCTGCTGACATGCCCGTGCCTGCTGGGGAAATCACTCTGCCCAAAAATGTCACCTCTTTACGGGTGCATTGTAGCTTTTTCTTGGAGACTTTGAACCCTGATGTGTGGAGGCGCACCAGTAGGTGTCTGGTGGCCTCCAAACAAGAGGCTGCAGAAGGTGCTGCGATGAGAAGGTCGTCTACATACTGTATTAATACTACTCCCACTGGCAATGTAACGCCCTCTAGCTGTTCCCTGAGCACTTTGTTGAATATTCCTGGAGACAAACTGAAGCCTTGTGGTAGTCTTGTGTATTGTAGTTTCTCCCCTCCTATTGTAAAAGAAAAAATAGGTCTCATACTCTCTGCCAGAGGTATGCAGAAGAAAGCGTTGGCTAGGTCAATACAGGTGAACCATGTATGTTCAGGTGAGACATTACAGATAGCCGTGTAGGGGTTAGGAACTGGTATCAGAGCTGTAGTCGTAATAGCATTAATGGTTCTCAAATCATGAGCCATTCTGTACTCCCCGCTAGATTTTGATACAGGAAGTATGGGAGTATTCCAAAGGCTTTGTGAGGGTTCTAACACCCCTGCTTTCTTCAGTCCCTCAACTGCCTTGTCAACACCCCCTTTTGCCTGTGGCTTGATCGGGTATTGTGACCGGCTCACAGGCACAGAGCTGCTGACCTCAAATGTTACTGGTGTGGCTTTTAAGCAGAAACCTACATCATGAGAGTGCGACGCCCACAGGTTAGACGGGAGATCACGCAACATGTCAACTGTATATGCATGGTCAGTTTTTTCCCTACCATGATGTCTATCTACTTCGTGTCTTTCCATGTGGATGCATTCTTGTGTGTAGATTTTAAGACGATACGCTCTGTGTGAGGGAGAGTATGTCAGTGCTGCGATCTGCGTAGGTTCCCAATCTTCGACTTCTAGCAGCGTCTTTACCATGGGACCAAGTTCTTTAGCTTCATAACTCTTTTTGATAGCTAATGTAATGTGCGGTGTGGACTCAGCAGACAAACGGTACCAGTACAGTTGTTCCTCAGAGAGCTCAACCGACGCAGCCACACCCGCCTGTCCCACAAAGAGATTTGTCGTGGTAACGTCCCACACGGCCATAGACACCTCATTATCATACTCATATTCATAACCTAGGTCGTCTTTTCTATCATAATTCAGCGTCAGGTGGGGGGGGTCTGGAGGGGGGCCATAAGGCCTGAGGAGGTTAATCCATGGCTTCCATTGTTGAAAAATGGAATACAGTCCAGGTGTGTTGTCCCGAGGTCGGTCCAACAGTCCCCAGAATATAGTGGCATGTTGGGTTGCTTCTGCCTCAGTGGACTGGGCCAACATCATCTGAGAACCTGATGTTATGGTAGCAGACGAACAATTGATGGTTGTGCCATTTGGGAATGATATTATCAGTCCATCCGGGGAACAGAGGATGGAGGCATTCGCTTTGATCAGAATATCCCTACCCATGAGGTTAGCCGGGCTTTTTGGTGCAAGAATATACTGGTGTAAGAATGTCTGTCCTGCTATCTTGGTGGATAACAGCGTGGAAAGCGGTATTATTTCTATTTTTCCCGAAAACCCTATGACTGAGACTGTTGTAGATGTTTTGGACGCCTTGAAGACGGGAGAATTGATGGTGGAATATCTTGCTCCTGAATCAACAAGGAACGGTAGGTTTGAGTCTTTAACAGTCATATTAATGTATGGATCCGCCAGGCCCGTACATCCAGGGTTCCCTGGGCGTCTTCATTCTTCGTAGTATTCCCCCTCATATAGGACAAACTGGCCATAGGGGGCGGCCATAGCATTAGGGGCAATGTGACCCTGGTTCGGTTGTTGCGGCAATGGGACAGCCTCCTGGGGTGTCTGGATATATGGTTTCTCCGATCCGTTCCCCCCTTTAGCCCGCCCCCTTCCAGGTGGGGCTCCATGTGGGCACTGCTTGAACCAGTGATCTGGCTGTCCGCAAATGAAACACACCTTCACGTATTCCAATCTAGGAGTCATCCCAAAGCCACCTCGACCTCTGACCCCTCCTCTGAACCCGCCCCTCTGTTGCCAAGAGTTATTATTGTAGCCAAATTGGGGCTGACTATAGGGCGGACCCTGGTTGGAAAGGCCCCCTTTTGGGTTTTGCTGCCCCTGTGGCTGCGCGGCCGGCGCTACTGGGTGAACAATCAACTGTTTGGCATTCTTTTTGTCATTCTGAACTGTTTTCCGGGCTATTTCCAGCTGCGTTCGCAGTAACTGCACCCTCAACTCCTCTTCCTCAGTTTTAACCTCTGTATGTTGTTTGTTGAATTTACTTAAATGATGGGCTAAATGACGTTCCCACGTCTGTGTGTTTAACTGATCTACCTCTGGATTGTCCTCCATCAGACTTTTAATTTCTTTCGGCACTGCCGCAAGCACTGCTTTACGGAACATCTGTATATGTTGGTCATTATTATCTGGACTGTAGTCAGTTGCCATTGTGTATTGTTGGCGTGCCCTGAGCAACATGGTTGCTGCAGCCTCTCCAGGTGTAAATGTAAATGACAGTGATCCGTAACCTCCCCCTGTCTGTGGGAAATGCTCTCTCATTGCTTTGCCCAGCTTGCTGTGAACATCGTCAAAGGAAATAGGCACGTCATCTTTCATTGTCGATGTTCCTGATCTATCCTCAACTCTTTCTACCTCATAATAGGAAGTCTGTTGTGCTAGTATTCTCCTGAAATCTCCCAGACAGATAGTCTGTCCTACAGCCATGTCCGCAAACCTTCGCATCCAATGTCTCCCTCCCTCAGTAGGCAACGGCATTTTATCGATCAGCGCATGTATGTCCCCTAGTGTGAAAGGATGATAAGCCGTCTTCCCGTTTTGCGCGGCCACTAAAGGCGCCTGTAATACTGGATACATAAAAGCATGCTTGGTGGGGTCTTCTGCGGTGTGGTGAGACCTTAATCTGTTACGGGGCATTGAAAGAACCTGATCTACTTCCACTAGTTCACTTATTGTTCCTGTCAGAGATATCTGCTTAACTTTGCACCTCGCCCTCCTGCTGTCTTCCTCTTCCTGAGAGCTGTCTTTACGACCCTGGCCACCTGCTCCATTGTAAAACCCCCCAGTTTCATGGCTTGCTGTTTCCCTATCCCTTTTATGGCCCGCTATCTTTCTATCACTTCTGTGGTTCGCCGTCTCTTCCCCACTTTCATGGCCCGATGCCCCCCCCTCAACACCTGGGTAATTAGACGTATACGTTTGGCGTGATCTGTTCTGAAAAGGATCACATCTCTCCCCCTTCTCTATATCTTCTAGCGAGCCCTCATATCCGCTCTGTTCCTGTCTCCTGTCTTCCTCCATGCGTCTATCTTGAATCTGTTGTTCATAGCACCGCCTTTCTCGTATTTCCCTCTCATCTAGGAGGTCAGTTGTGTATGTTGTGTCTGCCTGTGTAGCGCCTGAGTGGTTATCTGTAAGATTTGTCAGAAGGGAAGTCAATTTTTCTGAGGTGAGCTCCTTATCAAGTGGTCGACTGTCCCTGCTCGGGGAAACCCCCTCCTGGTCTGTGTTAGAACTAGGCCTCCGCGTGGTGTGTGCGCTGTCCATTCTGTCTAACGGGGAGGAAACCTGTTTTTGTTTAACATTTAGTCTTTTCTTTGGAGTAGGGACGCCCCTTAACGGACTCAACGCTACTGTTCCCACCATCCTATAGTTCCCTACGCTTATGGCCGCCTCCTCTCCTTCTGTGTCCGATGTATCTGCCACCATCATTTGCAATTTATTTGCGCTGTCGTCGGGTAGAGTATAAGGGGGAGGGGGCTGTGTAGTCAGACTACCTAAATCCGGGTAAAGGAGAGAGGAGCGGGTGGGAATAGCCGGATTTTGTATGGGCGTAGTTAGAGATTTCTGCTCTGAGTTAGAGACAACATTATTTTGCATTCTTCTAAAATATTCGACTCGTTCTGCTACATAGTCCAGAATGTCTCCATGTGTAGGCACCTCTGTGTCTTTAATACCATGAGGGAACAGAAGAGTCTTAACTTCATCTGTTTTTATGGGGCTTTGGATTGCCATTGCACCCGGGAGATTTTGTTCTGTGACGGGAGGAATATTAATTCCAATCATTACGAGGGCAGCATTGTGACAAACCCTCCTCAATCTATCTAGTGCCTGTTGTTGCTTGTTCCATTTGCTACGGGCAAACCATCTGGGCTTCTGTTCGTTTAGGTGTGCAAGTTGCTTTACAATCTGTCTTTCATATAAATTCAATGCTGTGCCCAAATTACCTACGGTGTCGTCATCCCCCACTTTATTCTCTGTTATCATTGTATCGTGTAGGAATCTGAGATCCGTACAAGCCTTTTCTTTAGCCCCCTGTTTGATTCCACTTAAAATCAATCTCTTAATCTGTTCCCATTGCTCCCGGTAACTCCCTGGAATTTCAGAATAGTCCTTACCATTCTGTCGTTCCATATTCACTTCGCTTTTATTTATCCGACTTAATTAATATGTGTTCACTTGTATTCATATACTGGGCTATTGTCGTTGTTATTATTAACGTGCTTCCCGTCTTCAATACCGGCCAGCAATGTAATGATGAAACTCTAAGTTTGAAGCTAAAATATATACAAATGTCAAGGGTGTGTTACCCCCTTTCAGCCACTAGATGGCAGCAGCAGACCACAAATGAGCTTCACTCTTCTGAGTGCCTCTTTTATCCCCGGAGACAATTGAAAAATCACACAGATTTATTCCCCGTACAGTTTGTCCAGCTTTTATAATGTGATGTTTATTTCAACAGGCTAGTGGACCCGAATGATGCTTCGACACTCTGAAAGAATGTGACCATTCCATGGGGAACTCCCAGGTCGTGAAAAGCCCTTTATCACACGTTTAGCTTTTCAAATTAAGTTTACAGACCAAGGGAAAACGAGAGACGGTCCCGTCACAATATTTTGTGAGGTTCGCGTTCTCTCCCTCGATTGGTATATAACAGAACTCTGGCTTTTAGCTTTCAGCCTTAGTCTGTTATTTACCCCAGTTTTAGACGGAGACCCGATCTTATATATCGAGTTTTCAGGTTTTGTCGTGCAGGAGTCAAACCTCGCACCCACAAACTGCCCCGTCTCTACGCCACTCAGGAATTTTCTACCTGCAGATCCGCGCCAAACTGCTCTATTTTCGTTACGCAGGACTTTTGGTCTACCTGGCGATCAACGTTTGTGTTTTGTATATAACTTTCCTAACATAGTAAAATATGCATTGTATATTCCATTTAAACTTTAAAAAACACTGTGAAACACCTACAGACAATCCTAAAATTTTAGTGTATCCAATTCCAGACAGTCGAATTTCATAACAGGCGTCTGTACCTTTGTGTAGAGTTGTGCAGGGCCCTGCTGATTGTCTGAGAAGTTTGAAAGCGTTTGTTCTCGACCCATTCCGGTCGTCTGGATTCTTCCTCAGCTTCGCTATATCTAGACGTCGGGGTCACCACTTGTTAGAGATTAAAAGGGATATCTGATCCGCTTTTCAAATCTCCGCGCGTTCCTATGAAGCTGGTTATAATACAGGAAGAAATCCAGTGCCACCAAGTAAACAATATCTACTTTAATGGTAATATGACAAAATAATACAATCAATACAGTACAAATTCAATACAGTTAATCTTTGGGATCCCGAATTTACCTGCACGTGAGCCAGCCAGAGGAAAGAGGCTGAACACCGCCTGTGTTTCTGTGTTTCTACTCTGTGTCAATGGGAGGAGTTATCAGATCCTCCCATTCGGACATCATTGATTGGCCGCCCCAAATATCACAGACCCCTTAGACCTTAGGCTTCCCCAATCACTGTAGCATGTCTAAACTGAAGGCAACTCAAGACATGCTTTCACCTTCCCCCATCTTCCTTTGTCCTCAAAAACATATGTCCAAACAGGCCCCACATCCAGCTCACAGTTCCACCCAAATTATTCCCTTTTTAAGCTTATCCATAGTTTGCTAACATGAATAAATACAAATATAACTTTACAATCAGTATGTAGTGTCTCTACTTTAAAGAGTCCTCTCCTGCTGATGTTCAAGTGTATATCAGTATGTAGTGTCTCTACTTTAAAGAGTCCTCTCCTGCTGATGTTCAGGTGTATATCAGTATGTAGTGTCTCTACTTTAAAGAGTCCTCTCCTGCTGATGTTCAGGTGTATATCAGTATGTAGTGTCTCTACTTTAAAGAGTCCTCTCCTGCTGATGTTCAGGTGTATATCAGTATGTAGTGTCTACTTTAAAGAGTCCTCTCCTGCTGATGTTCAGGTGTATATCAGTATATAGTGTCTCTACTTTAAAGAGTCCTCTCCTGCTGATGCTCAGGTGTATATCAGTATGTAGTGTCTCTACTTTAAAGAGTCCTCTCCTGCTGATGTTCAGGTGTATATCAGTATGTAGTGTCTCTACTTTAAAGAGTCCTCTCCTGCTGATGTTCAGGTGTATATCAGTATGTAGTGTCTCTACTTTAAAGAGTCCTCTCCTGCTGATGTTCAAGTGTATATCAGTATGTAGTGTCTCTACTTTAAAGAGTCCTCTCCTGCTGATGTTCAGGTGTATATCAGTATGTAGTGTCTCTACTTTAAAGAGTCCTCTCCTGCTGATGTTCAGGTGTATATCAGTATGTAGTGTCTCTACTTTAAAGAGTCCTCTCCTGCTGATGTTCAGGTGTATATCAGTATGTAGTGTCTACTTTAAAGAGTCCTCTCCTGCTGATGTTCAGGTGTATATCAGTATGTAGTGTCTCTACTTTAAAGAGTCCTCTCCTGCTGATGTTCAAGTGTATATCAGTATGTAGTGTCTCTACTTTAAAGAGTCCTCTCCTGCTGATGTTCAGGTGTATATCAGTATGTAGTGTCTCTACTTTAAAGAGTCCTCTCCTGCTGATGTTCAGGTGTATATCAGTATGTAGTGTCTCTACTTTAAAGAGTCCTCTCCTGCTGATGTTCAGGTGTATATCAGTATGTAGTGTCTACTTTAAAGAGTCCTCTCCTGCTGATGTTCAGGTGTATATCAGTATATAGTGTCTCTACTTTAAAGAGTCCTCTCCTGCTGATGCTCAGGTGTATATCAGTATGTAGTGTCTCTACTTTAAAGAGTCCTCTCCTGCTGATGTTCAGGTGTATATCAGTATGTAGTGTCTCTACTTTAAAGAGTCCTCTCCTGCTGATGTTCAGGTGTATATCAGTATGTAGTGTCTCTACTTTAAAGAGTCCTCTCCTGCTGATGTTCAGGTGTATATCAGTATGTAGTGTCTCTACTTTAAAGAGTCCTCTCCTGCTGATGTTCAGGTGTATATCAGTATGTAGTGTCTCTACTTTAAAGAGTCCTCTCCTCCTGATGTTCAGGTGTATATCAGTATGTAGTGTCTCTACTTTAAAGAGTCCTCTCCTGCTGATGTTCAAGTGTATATCAGTATGTAGTGTCTCTACTTTAAAGAGTCCTCTCCTGCTGATGTTCAGGTGTATATCAGTATGTAGTGTCTCTACTTTAAAGAGTCCTCTCCTGCTGATGTTCAGGTGTATATCAGTATGTAGTGTCTCTACTTTAAAGAGTCCTCTCCTGCTGATGTTCAGGTGTATATCAGTATGTAGTGTCTCTACTTTAAAGAGTCCTCTCCTGCTGATGTTCAGGTGTATATCAGTATGTAGTGTCTCTACTTTAAAGAGTCCTCTCCTGCTGATGTTCAGGTGTATATCAGTATGTAGTGTCTCTACTTTAAAGAGTCCTCTCCTGCTGATGTTCAGGTGTATATCAGTATGTAGTGTCTCTACTTTAAAGAGTCCTCTCCTGCTGATGTTCAAGTGTATATCAGTATGTAGTGTCTCTACTTTAAAGAGTCCTCTCCTGCTGATGTTCAGGTGTATATCAGTATGTAGTGTCTCTACTTTAAAGAGTCCTCTCCTGCTGATGTTCAGGTGTATATCAGTATGTAGTGTCTCTACTTTAAAGAGTCCTCTCCTGCTGATGTTCAGGTGTATATCAGTATGTAGTGTCTCTACTTTAAAGAGTCCTCTCCTGCTGATGTTCAGGTGTATATCAGTATGTAGTGTCTCTACTTTAAAGAGTCCTCTCCTGCTGATGTTCAAGTGTATATCAGTATGTAGTGTCTCTACTTTAAAGAGTCCTCTCCTGCTGATGTTCAGGTGTATATCAGTATGTAGTGTCTCTACTTTAAAGAGTCCTCTCCTGCTGATGTTCAGGTGTATATCAGTATGTAGTGTCTCTACCATCCATAAACTGCTCATATAGTCAAAAGTCAAAGTTATACATTTATCAAAGTTATTGAAGTGACTGTTATGTTGTATATATTGATTGTTGTGCATTTATATATGTCTTAATGTGTGCATATGTACAAATGTGTCTGTTGATTGTGTGTATATATATATAGATATATACATATTTGTATATACATTTGTATTTTCGTATTCGGGATTGTGGGAAACGGTATTTCGATCTGTACACAGAAACTGAAAGATTGACAATAAAGTTGACTTTGATATATGAAGCGTCTGAACTTAAGTTAACCATCAATAATCCACTTATTAGATAACAAAAAGTATTACAAGTCAAACTAATCTTTATATTTGAATGTGTTCCTGTGTTGTGTAACGGGTCAGAGGTCAGGATGTCCTACAGGTCCCCCCCCGCTGCCTCGTGCTTCTCCACACACACTGCACAGAGGGATGGGAAAGGACTGGACTTGGATATTATTGCTCGACTTCACTCTGATTGGCTGTGACACATCGCTTAAAATCATCTTGTAGGAAACGCCTGAAGCAGCTCCTTCATCTCTGAGATACGCAGCAGATGCAAATCAGCTCCGATGTTTGAGGGCGTTTCAAATTTACATTTTAAAGCATTTATTTTCTTCCTGGATGAAGGCTGCTGGGATAAGTCCTTTATAGATTAGAAAAGGAAACACACTGTAATAACATCGGACACACAGAGGCAGAAACAAGCACTTTACATTTCGAGGATATTTCAAAAAACATTAAATGAGATGCTCTGAATTTAATCAGTTGTTTTTCTTCTTCAGATACAAGTCTTTAAAGGACTCGAGCAAAACAAAACTTCACTCCCTCATCGGTTACATCTCACTGCAACAAAGAAATGAGGTGATCTGGTGTCACGGACGCTTACACCAGATATATGAAAAGTGGAATTCATATATTCCACTTTTTGTCTTTTAATCCAAATATGAGGACATATCAAAAATGAGTCCCTTTCCAAAAGAGACATGAAGTGTATCGATATAATATTCAGGTTTAAGGGTAATTTATTGTAACGATAAATTGACTAATCAAGATTTCTGCTTAATTACCACTTTGAATTAAGATTTTCAGTTATTTGTCGTATTCTTATTGTTTTTTCCTTTGGTTTTATGATAGTTTTATCCTTATGTGAAAATGTGTTTGGTAATAAACCAAATCTGATTCTTTTAAGCCGATTGACAAAAATCACATTTCAAGCAGTTTTTCATGCAAAAATGGCACTAAATGCTGTTTTCAGCCTCTCAAATATGGAGGTATTCCGATTTTTCTCTCTTTTATGACATTTAAGTCAATATCTTTAGGTTTAGGGACAAAACATCTTTTTTATAAGTTTCTGTAAGGTCCTTTTAAGGTAGGTGATTTTTCATTTAATTTCAAACCTTTATTTATCCAGATTGTCCCTTGAGATCATAGATCTCTTTTTCAAGGGAGTGATGCTGGTGTTTTACTTTTGTAATTGTTATGATATTGTCTGCTGCAGGCTTACTTTCATATGTTTTGCATAAGTCCACCACCATCGGAAAACTTCTAAATAGTCATTTTTAGTATGAAAACAGCTTGGTAACCAGCAATATTGTATTATTTGAATTAAAGGTGGGGCATGTAATTTATTTCAGAAACATTTGTTATATTCCATGGAATGCTCTTAATGTCCCGATAGCAATGAATATATTAAATGCTTTGACAATACATATATAACAAAATATCATCAGTTCTGTGCACAAACTTACCTCGTGCCCTCATTGGTCATGTGCGCGTTCGTGTGTGTTGGAGGAGGGGCTCTGTGAGGAAGTCTGAAGGAAGAGGCATATTTTTCCCGGTTGTGTATTTTCAAATTCTAGCGCACTCGAGCTGGTTTCTCCATTCTTACCTACCCTACCTTTAAGGGCAATACAAAGGAGTATTTCTGTAAACGCAGTCGTCGCTGTGCTTATGGTCAGAGGAGCAACGTGAGATCTGAGCTCTAGGTGAAGGTTATTTCCTGAGAGGACTCAGATCTGCACGTTTGGAAGAACCAGTGTCCAGTTTCATCAGGAGTGAATCCCTTAAATTCACATTTTCCTCGTGCTTATTTACTTTCCTGCTGATGGTTCAGAAGACTCATTGGTCGACACACAGCAGGATATAAGCTCATTATGGAGATGCAAGAAAAACAGATTCGAAAAGGTTAAAATATTGAATGACATTTTTTTGTTTAAAAGGCAATGTGTTCTTTTGTTTATTCAGTAAGAGATTGTAAGCAAAATCATGGTATTGAAGGCATGAAAGTAAATAAAAATAAACATACAAATACGATAAACAAATACAACTCAGAATGGAGAAAAACAATTGCATAAAATATCACCAAATCTGGAAAAAATAAATATCCATGGCACATGTAATTATTGATGATTCAACGATACCAGACATTATTATTTGCATTTGAGTCTTTTAGCCATCATTTTTCTTGCTATAATAACACTTGAAGGTATTCCTTGTGAATGTGGCATCGTTGCTAAAAAGGAAGTTCAACAGACAGCTTGTATAATAACTTTCCATTTTCTTATTCAAATATACAATAAATAAACCAAAAAGCAACAAAAGTCAAAGAAAAATTATGAATTATAGAATTAAAATGTACCACTTGTTGATAGTTTATTATTTAATCATCGTACAGCATGCCTTTAGAGATGAAAGGATAACCAATTGTAACGTTTCACATCATCAGAAAAGACACCACAGACATGGGCAGCTAACAAAAAACCTCTGATAAGATCCGAATAACTTTCCCCCCCCCCCGACACTTTGCATCTCTCTGTACTTCTTTTTCAGCGACGTCGCTTCATTCACAGCAGTTAGTTGAAGAATGATGGCTTAAAAACTCTTTGAAAATAACCCAAATTGTAAAAAATCAAACATTAAAGAAATCCTCACAGGCTTGAAACGCATTTACAACTCTTACTTAATTAGGAATATTCTCTTTACATCTTTGAAAATACGTTTTATACTGGCCTGAACAAGGCATTTTCATGTTCTTTGCCAAGCTGTAGTAAGCATGCACTTAAATGAGTTGTTAAAGGGATGGCTCACATATTTTAAAGTGGGGTTTGATGAGGTGGAAATCAATCAATATCACTTGAAGTGTACGCAACATTTCGGATACGGAAATCTCGTTAAAAAACCCACTTGCTTTTACAGGCCAGGTGACACTTGTGCTTTTAAATGTGGGTTTTCATAGTGTTTTGTATTGTTTTCACGTCATGTAGGAGAGTTTCTCAGTCGGTGGCTTCTGATCTGGTTTCATTGTCTCGTGTTTTACATTTGTTTCATGTCCTGTCTGTTTTTATGTATGTATGCTATGTTTTTATAGTTGTTGATGTACAGCACTTTGTTGTTTTTAAATGTGCTATAGAAATCAAATGGATTGGATATCCTCACCTCTTTACCTCGCTTTAAAACTCCACCAGACTCCATTGACGAAACCAGGACATTTTAGCATGTAATGCACAGCTGCAAATATCTATTATTTAGTTTGTGTTATTGTGTGATTTCAGGGTTTTAAAAAGGGTTCGTTTTCAATCACCCACAATAACACAAACACTAATGCATGGAGGCAGTAAATATGTGCTTTCAAAGCTAACAAATCAATGATCAATGGAGACCGGGCAATATATCAATATGATGTTGATCTCATGTTAGATTTAAGATATCGTAACATGACACAAGTATTGTTTGATTCCTTGTTTTAAAGCAGGGGTGTCAAACTCAATTTCATCGCGGGCCACATCAGCATTATGGTTGCACTCAAAGGGCCGGTTGTAACCATATAAAATATACATATATATAAATATATAATAGATATAAAATAATGTGTTATATTACATTATTGCCTCTGAATTGGATTATTATCGGAGAGGATAATAACTTAGTAATTAACTACGTCTGAAAGCAAATAATTGCAAGTCTCTTCAGTGGCATGTCACAAAACGAAATGCATTGTGGGACATGTAGTTTATGGGCAACCTGATTCTGTGAAGCGGCATTTAATCGTATAATAAACGTATTACATTCTTTGCAAGCTCTTGCAGGGCCACATAAAATGAAGTCGCGGGCCGGCTGTGGCCCCCGGGCCTTGAGTTTGACACCCCTGTTTTAAAGGATGCATTACAGTAAAGTGATGTCATTTCCCAATTCGTGTGATTTCTGTTTAATGACTACCCAAATTGGTATTTTTTGGCGACACACGGATGATTTTTGACATTTAGATTCTCTATGTTGTCATTTTCATCGGTTTTAATCTATAAACACATCATCTATTGCACGTCTGTGTATCCTTGGAGAAGGATCCTTCCTCTTTTGCTCTCCTCAAGATTTATACAAATGTTCCTATAGATTTATCAGGAATCGTAATTGTACGCTGCGAGGACAGAGTGTCATATGCTGAACACCCCCCAAAAACTAATGTGTAATTTATGATAATGGGCTATGTTATTATAAAATGAAATGTAAAATGATTGATTGAAGTTATTAGATCCATTTGATCATTAGTCTTCCAGGATTTCTTCTGGATGTGTACGCTGCAAGAGTGGAAGGAGAGTGTCTTGTATGCTGAACACCCCGAACAACGAATGTGTCATTTATGATAATCAGCTATTGATTGAAGTCATTAGATCCATTTGACTGATGTGTGTGACTGTTAATTGATGATATTTCATAAACTCCACACAGCCCTCATTTAACCCCACATTAAAAACACAGAACTCTCCCTTTAATGAGCAAAATATACAATCCCGATCTTTACTGTTTGAAATGCTGAAGGATGAGCAATGAGGATTAAAGGAGGTCGACACGAGAAGGAAAACCTCCTTCTATTATATTCTGTGGCTTTGCAGAGCGCCGTTATTCTCATAGAGATTACATTCCCCTCACCCTGCATCCCACTTCGGAGCGGGGGGGGGGGGGGGGATACAAATTCAAACACACTGAAAGAGAGAAGCAGCTCTTCATTTAGCACAGTAAGCAAGAAGCTTTGAAGTCAGCCATTTAAAATAGGATTGACATGAATAAATAAACGGTGTGAGCTCGTGAAATCGCATTTTGACAGGGAATTATTAATAAATACCACCTTCTCCCTTTGTTCTGGGATTAACCTCCACGGCATTCATTCATTTTTAGAGTTTATTCCAAGGATATGAATGTTGTTACTTGATGAGATGAAGAACAATGAGATTTATATTAAAACACCTTTTTATTGACGCAGTCGTTCACTTTGATGCTTCTCTGTTTCGGAAGAACTGCATGGATGGACGATGACATATTTTCATGTCTCTCTTTAAAAAGATGTGCTTCTCATCCCTTCTTGTAAAGTATAAAAATATAATAAAATTTTAAAATAACATGAATTCCTTCTCAGTAGGGATGGGGTTCGATAGCCTTTTGTATCGAATCTGACTCCTTATATAATCTCAGGTTGCCTTTAAGCATCTGTGGGTGGTACAAAGTTAAAATAAAAGATGTCGGCCGAGGCAGAAACACCACAGTCTTTAATCAATGGCAGCCTGTTGTATCTGTATCCGTATCTGTTGTGTACTTTTCAAGTCGTTTATCTGGTCTTTGTGAATGAGGCTCATTAGCATCGATTTGTGCTAAATATCTGCATAAAACCTCGTTTAGTAAAAGCAACATCTTCTTCTCACGATACAAACTTGACCTTCCTGAACTGCCGTTATTCTTAAAATCATATTCTGAGCGGCATGCTGACCAAGCATTGACCGTGAACCGCAAACAAACGGTTAGCAGCTAGCCAACCCCTTGGTTCTCCGTTTACTTGCTCACATTTCCATTTCAATGCCAGAATTCAAGTTTGATGAGTTCCTGTCTCCATGCAGTCTGCGGAGGAGTGAACAGGTACGTAACAGTAAGCTGTACGGAAATGTTATTTTTTCCTTAAATTTGTATCTTAAATAATTTCAGACGGGTTCTTTGAGGCAAAAAAAACGTAACCGGGTCGACTTAAGGACCACGCTAAAAGTATTACTCTGAGTGTAAATGCAGTAATGGCTTTTAAAAGACCAGAAACAGCTTTCAAATCAGCTGCAGGATTTGTCTAAATGTTATCCATTTAAAAACAAAAAGGCATAAAGAGAGACGAAAGGTAGAGATAAGAGATTCGTTAGCATTGTAGTAGCTTAGCAAATCCGGCTATCGGAGCCCATCCCCATCCCTAACCCTCACCTTACCTTAAGTTAAGTGACCTTATCTCACCTCACCTTAAGCTAAGTTAACTCACCTTAAGTTAAGTTAACTCACCTTAAGTTAAGTTAACTCACCTCACCTTAAGTTAAGTGACCTTATCTCACCTTACCTTAAGTTACCTCACCTCACCTTAAGTTAAGTGACCTTATCTCACCTTACCTCACCTTAAGTTAAGTTACCTCATCTTAAGTTAAGTGACCTTAACTCACCTCACCTTACCTTAAGTTAAGTTACCTCACCTCAGCTTAAGTTAAGTTACCTCATCTTAAATTAAGTTACCTTATCTCACCTTAGGCTAAGTTACCTCACCTTACCTTAAGTTAAGTGACCTCATCTCACCTTCCCTCACCTTAAGTTACCTCACCTCCCCTCACCTTAGGTTAAGTGACCTCCAGCTCCCCTCCCTGCCTCTGCTCTGGTGTCCTGTGTAATGGATGGAGAACAGATCCTTCAGCAGTTGTACCTGTCTCTGGATCAGTTTTACATGATAGTGACAACAGCCACCGTTTGTTTTTGGACGGCCTCCAAACCTTTTTTTTTTTTTAAACATTCCTCCTCCTCCCATTTCCTCCCATCTCCTCCTCTTTTCTCTTATCGGTAGGGGGGCTCTGGCTGTTGGGGGGGGGGTCTGTAAAGCTGCTGCAGTCTCACCGGCCTCCCGTTCGCAGGCCAGCCTCCCGGTAACTGTCCGATGACCCTTAACCCCACCGGCTGTCTGTGGTGTCCTGACATCACGCTGCTGGGGCTGAGGATCTGTCCCAGCTGGGGCTCAGGGGGGGGGTTACTACTGGGAAAACATGGCGCTGAAGCAGGGGGAGAAACAGGATAATGTGGGAGGAGAATGGCCGGAGTTAACCCGTATCGAACCTGGAAAACTCTTAACGGTCCTTGAGCTACGAATCCATTCGGCCTCTGAGGATCCTGAAGATGCTCGGAGTCCTTCCTCACTTCCTCCTTCCTCACTTCCTGGATTTTGATTTTATCCTCCGCAGGTTTCTTTAACTTGAGGCTCTTCTTCCTCGCGACCTCCTGCATCTTCTCCGCTTGAGCCCGGCGGATGTGATACGTCTTCCTGGAGCTTTGGAAGGAGTCCAGGAACTCGTCCAGGCCCACGTTTCCCTCCATGAACTTCTCCAGAAGCTCCTGCGAAGAAGACAAACACACATCAGCAGGAAGGGAATAACGAGGGGACGACTACCAAATGTATTTTTCTGAGATTGAAGACCACTTCCTGTCGGTCTTCTTCTGCTGATTGATCTGACGTCCAGCCCTCTTTCCTTCTCTCCCATGATCCTTGCTTACCCAGAAGCCTTTTAACTTGTTTTAGCACCTGCCGTATTTACAATGTTGTTTTTAAACTATTCTGTATCTCTTTTATGCATGGTTTTTATTAACCTGTTATTCAATTATGTTTATTTATTGTGTTCCTTTCTGTTGTCTTCTTATTAAGTGTTAATGAGGAAGAAAAGCACTTTTAAAATGGGCTATATAAATCAACGTACCTTACCTTACCTTAGCAGAGGTGTGTTATCAAGCATTACTAACCTCTGAAATGTCAGAACTGAGTATTCAACTAAGCTGTGTAATAATTCGGTATATTTTGTTGACATTAAAAGGAAGAAAACGCATCTGCAGTTGCCACATTGTACTACTACTTAAGGACAAAACTTAGTTTATGAATAATATTACTGATTGACAGGGCGTTTGTCCCTTAGGTAAAGTTGGATCCAAGGCTGCTAATAATCATGTGACTTTAAATATAAGGATATTAAAAAAATGCCTGAAGATGACATAAAAATTAAATACACATGTCTGACCCGCAGTTCTAACCGTTACATTTCTATGAATTAAATAATCTTTCCACCTGCAGTTGATTCTGCAATTGAGTACTACTGCACATACAAAAAGTGATTCTCCTGATAAAGTTAGATCTAGGGATGCAACTAAAGTAAACTTACTTTTAAATCCAGGCTGAAGACTTTTCTTTTTGCCGCTGCTTTTAATTGAAACTGAGTGGTTGTGATTCGTTTTTTGGATAATGAACATTTGGGGCTAGTAACCCCAGGGAATCAGTGTCTGGGGACTTTGTCCTGGCTGCTTTTCTCTGTGTGCTGCTCGGGACGTATGTGCCATACAAGCGTACACAGCTCATGTTCGGAGAAACCTTAAAGTGGACCTATCATGCTATATTGGAATAATGTATTGTTGGGCCATACCTATATAAAACATGTCTGTGAAGTTTTTTTTTCAAAATACCAAACAGATCATGTATTTTAGCCATGCCTCATTTCGCTCTATTTGCTCTATTCCAGCCCTGTCTTCACAAGGGCTGATTCTGTGGCAAATGAGCTGCAGCTGACCTCGCCCCCCTGCAAAGGAGGGGGGCGAGGCACGAGCGTCATGTTACCATGCTGTTACCATGCTGTTACCATGCCACGCAACCTCTCATTCCCCTGATAGGTGGAGAGTTGCCCATATAGGCGGAGCTCCTTGCTTCTGACGTCAGAACAATTTCAAATCTGGATCAGTCTGTATCAGCTCCGTTGCAGCCACGTTTTTAGAGATTTGGGTATGGAGGAAAAGAGAGAGGGTTGTGTTTTCTGACCCTTGGTGAGTTCCCTGACACACCGGGGACACATCTTCATGTATAAAAGACGTACAAAAGTGCATTTTGCATGATAGGTCCCCTTTAAAAGGAAGGCATCAGTAAAGTGGAACTTCTGTGTGAACTATTCACATCTTAAACTGCACTGTAACTTTTTATTCATGTATTTTTTCTTTTAATATCTTTTCTTTTTAATGACTGTTTTTAAATGCCTTTGTCTGAATCTCTTTCATTTTTGTAAAGCACCTTGCATTGCTTTGTGTTGAAAGGTGCTATATAAATATACTTGCCTAGAGGCCAATCTGGAGACATTTTCACAATAACACATTATCTGGCGTACAAAATGTCAGAAAATAATAATAAAAAGTCCATCGCTAAGTCTTTAAACCGCAGAAACTCGACAGAAAAGCACGAAAAATCCTCATATTTAAGAAATGGCAAAACACAAAGGGAGGTCCGTCCGCGGGGAAGCGTTAAAACAAACTGCTCTAAGAATAAAAGAGAATTTAATTAGGTCGGGATGTTTCCCCGTGAACTTTGGCACAGTTTGACCTCTATAACATGTCACTGTTAGTTCATCTTCAGAACAAAAGAGCCGTGTTGCAGCGATTGTTAGTTTTGGCAGCGCTTGAAAGGCGAAGTGATGCAAGTCTGTTTGAGTTCCCATCGGATCGTCTGTCCGCTGAACAACCGGGACACACGTTATATCTGAGAGGTGATCGCAGGGTAGGGACTGCACAGGGTTTAGTAGGATGTGGCTCCGTAAGTATGACAAACACTCCTGGACTCCTGGACTATGTTTCAACTACAATAAATATAAGTTAATGCCTCTAACTAAAAACATAATTGTGTAAAATAGCTATTGAATATATTGAGTTTATATGTGTTGACCAGTCTCCCAGGGAAGGGCGGTTGATATCAAATGTATGTATGAAAGTTTGCAAACCCACTTAAAACATAGTAATGTATTTACTTGTAATTATTAACATTGCGGCTTAATTACATTCTGAGGAATAGTGTGATGCTGTGTATGTGTGTGTGTGTGTGTGTGTGTGTGTGTGTGTGTGTGTGTGTGTGTGTGTGTGTGGCCGAGCATTACTATACTTGTGGGGACCTACATCTGTTTACACAGTCAAATGTGGGGACTCGCCTCCCTTATGGGGACCCATAAGGGGAATCATTATTTTTAGGGTGAAGACTTGGTTAGGGTTAGGCGTGTGTTGGTTATGGTTAGGATAAGTCTCCAGGAAATGCATTGTGACGAAGGTAACTTTGTCACTATGGACTGACTGCTTCAGGCCGGGTAATTGTGTGCACCTGGTGTCCTGTGTTGTCTCCTCCCCCCCTCACCTGTGTCTTGTTGTGCTGATTAGTGTGTGTATTTAGGCTCTGTTTCCCTGTCTGTTGGGAGGCTGATAGGGTGCGTGACATCCTTGTGGCTGGTAGGATGTGTGCAAGGAGAACAACAGGATTGAGGCTGTGAACTTTGCGCACAGGAGCAGCAGATTGAGGCTGTGTCATATCATATGTGTATGATTTTAATAAATGCCCACGTCGGGTTATATTTTTGGACGTTCTGCCTCTGCCTCCTTGCTTGGTCGGGCCGCTCAATTGTCAGCTTCACAATTGGTGTCAGAAGTGGGATTTGACCAAGTAAGGAAGTGAAAATTTTGAGAGGAAAGAAGAGGGACCAAAGAGAGGAACCGCAGCTGGGGGTGGCTATGCCTGGAACGGACCAGGGGGCCACGGCTGTTGAGGCAGCAGGAGACGAGAAACAAGCAGCAGGAGACGAGAAACAAGCAGCAGGAGACGAGAGACAAGCAGGTGGAGCAGCTGGAGAAGGAGAAGAGGGAACTCCAGGAGCGCCTGAAGAACCAGGAGAAAAAGATTGACTACTTTGAGAGGGCTGAACGCATTGAACATGAGCAGCGAGAGGAGGAGGATCGGGAGTACCAGGAGCGTCTGCGCAAACTCGAGGAGCAGGAACGAAAGCAGCGCGCTCGTCAACAGGAGATCGAGGAGCGGGAACGCCGTCGTGACGAAGAGAAACGGGTCCCAGCCGAGGAGAAACCCAAGGATTGGAGCGAAAAGGAGGTTGTAAAATACACTGTGCTTCCTGGGGAGAGGGGGGAAGGAAATGTGACGAAGGTAACTTTGTCACTATGGACTGACTGCTTCAGGCCGGGTAATTGTGTGCACCTGGTGTCCTGTGTTGTCTCCTCCCCCCTCACCTGTGTCTTGTTGTGCTGATTAGTGTGTGTATTTAGGCTCTGTTTCCCTGTCTGTTGGGAGGCTGATAGGGTGTGTGAGATCCTTGTGGCTGGTAGGATGTGTGCAAGGAGAACAACAGGATTGAGGCTGTGAACTTTGCGCACAGGAGCAGCAGATTGAGGCTGTGTCATATCATATGTGTATGATTTTAATAAATGCCCACGTCGGGTTATATTTTTGGACGTTCTGCCTCTGCCTCCTTGCTTGGTCGGGCCGCTCAATTGTCAGCTTCGCATGCAAGTCAATGTAATGTCCCCTGAAGTGATGTATACATGGTGTGTGTGTGTGTACTTCAGCAGTAAAGACACGCTTGGCTTTCTGCAGGAACCTGATTCGTGTTAAATAGGTTTCCATTATGGAGGAGAGAGGAATTAGAGAAATACATTTCAGCTGCTGAACCTGATTTCACGGTCCTGCATATTCACACAAGCAGCTCCCTGTAACACGGCTTGTTTACCTGAACAAACAGGACAGACTTTGTTCAGGTAAAGGGTGAGAACAGTTTGTCAGGATGAAAGGAAACACCTGTGTGCATAGAATAGATGTATTTCTGATCACTTTCAAGCAGTCTTGATAAAAGTTAGGCTCACGTAAAGCTCCAGAAGTCTAATTTTGATGGTTTTCAGGTTCATATTTGTAGAACTTGGACAAATGTATACCGTGAGGAAACACTGTATGCTTTCCTGACAGTGCTGCCAGTACAGATGCTTAAAAAAACTAATAAAATACATGTTTTAAATGGTGTAATAAATGAAGAATCTCCAGCAGAAATTCAACCGAATATCTGTATTCTGAGCAAGTTATTTTTCTATGCCTAAATGATTGACTTTCTATGATTGGATAATCTTTTCACATCCAGTTAGATCTTCAATCGAATACTTTGAATGAATATAACTATTACAAAATTAATTTACCTGATAGAATAAGATCTAGGTGCAGGAGTGGCCAACCCGCGGCTCTCGAGCCGCATGCGGCTCTTTGCCCAGTCTCATGCGGCTCCTCCGTTCATATCGAATTTTAATTGTGTTTTTTTTTTTTTGCGCATATGTATCCCAGTTCACAAAGGGTTAACAACACACAAGTTCCAGCCCAATCGTGACACAGAGTTTTCAACAAAGAAGTGCTTTAGCCAATCAAAATGCAGATCCTGCAGTACTGGAGGCGGGCTTTACTGCACTCGCGATGTGACAGTGAAGGGAGAGATCTGCTTCCGATTGGCAGAAATATAACTCAGATAAAACCGTAATAACTCAATATAATGTTGTCA